GTGAGTCTGTTCCAATTTCGGTTGTTAATTTTAATACTAATGAGTGCATTCTAGATAATACAGAGTCTACATCCAATACACCGTCGGACAGATGTAAGATGAACTTAAGAAGAAGACGAACAATCGATTACAGACACTTACACTCCAATTCGAGCTGTGGCGGATGTGATGTTTAAATAAATCAATGACTTCTTAGTATTGATAACTGTTGTAATTTTGAATTCCAAATACAATACATTCGTTCGGGCTCATCTAATACTTCTTGATTACATTGAGTTATTCCTGGGATTACTAGTTTATACTACAATTCAAATACTTCTGATTGTCATAGAAATACATGTTAGAATTTCAAAATGTTTATTTTAATTCTTAACATGGGCAAAATCACAATTATGATAGAGATTATTTAAAAGTTAAATAAACTGAGGATATAATTATTGGAATAATTCATCATAAAACATTCTAAAAAGTCACCTTGAGATGCATACCGATAACCGTAAGTTAATAGCCTAACTTATAACAGTATAAGAATTTCGTGCTAAGAAATAGAAAACCAAAAGTCGTTGTATAAATGCCGATATTGGCTTTACCATTAGTTTGATTTAGAAATTCATTTAACGTTCATATTGGTATGCTGTCTGTATGAGTTGATTTTCAACTGCATCTGCGTTAGCAGGCTTACTAATGAAACAAAAGTTCACCCGTGAAGATGAAGGATTCCAAATGATGTTCTAGTTAGTCTATTAACTTTAATATGGTTTGTTTAGTTACAGGGATATTTTCCTTGACTTCATTATTATTTAACCATGATAGGATTTAATAAAACTACTGATACATATGAATGGTTATCAAAAGTTCATTTTATACGCGGAATCGGTGACAATTAGTAAGTTTCAGACAGATGGCTAACATTGATTTGTTAAATATGAGTGGATCCACGGTGAAAACGCTCTAGGCTTTGGTGTACAGTAAACTATTTACTTATATGCATATTTACCGGTTGTTAGTGCATACAAGTTAGTCTCAAGTATTGAGTCTAAAATGAGGTAGAAAACGACTAATTTGAAAGTGTTTAAATTGACAAATCCTATGTGCCACAAACATAGATGCTCTGGTGTTGCACTATGCTTCAGGCTAGTTAAATCTATACAAGGTGATAAACAGTGTGTGCTTCTTATGTAATTACAGAAATTATTGCTCTGATTGGAAATGCAGTTATGTAGGAATTTATGTCACAATCAGAAACTTTTAGTCTCAAACATCATCAGTATATAAGCACGCAATAAGGATTGGTCAGATACTGGTCACTGGCGTCATGATCCACTGCAACACTCACTGCATATTAATTACGGGAGAGCCATATTTTCTTTGAATTCCGTGAGAACAGTTGCCCAAAAGCATCATTTAAAGATGTCTAGCAAACCGACGTAACGTAAAAGAACCAGTCACAGAAATCAAGAAACATGTTCTGTCATTTGTGAACAATATCAGTACTCACAAATCTAAACAATGACTCGATATTACTTTGTTTAGATCTGTTACGAGAGAACTGAAGACATTTGGCTGATTAAAACCTTTTTACTGTGCATCAATTTTACTGTGTTTTTGAATGTGTTTGTTTTACTTAACCTTTGGATGTGTTTGTTTATATCATTCTTTTCGGACATTTTGGTTTCTTTTGTCATTGGTTTGGTATTTGGGAGTTTTTGCTCCGGGAACCTACAAAATTGAAGGTTTGTTTTGTAATTGTTATAGTTATTGTTGTTAGAACGACTTTGGTCGATTATTTATGAATTGCGAATAAACTTGGTATCCAATTTGGAGTTTTGATTCTCTTGCCTACTTGGGTTCGTGATTTGCGAATATCGACGGCCAGTACTTCAGTAGTTGGAACGGGCAAAAACTCATAAATGGACTTAACAATACCTGAAGAAAATAGATAAAGTAAACAAATCAAACAATGGTCATGAGAGAAAATGCATCAACAACATCAGAAGCGATAACACTGGACAGAGTGGAGACCACTCATATTCCCACCTATATATGAAAGTTATTAACTTTGAGTAATACAATAACTCATCATAAATACCAATGTATGGAGACCACGAAACACATTAAGTAGATTAAAGAAATATCGAAATTCCGGGTGTGTAACATATCAGGGAATTTCTAGCAGTATGGGATTCAGATCCGACGATGATTAGTAGGCAGACCGACTAAGTTTATAAATACATACGGATGCTGTTATTCTGTCTCACAAGACCAGAGGTTAATAGATGAAGAAAATCAGTAAGAAAATAATTGGACTTATCAATACACTTGATCGCAAATATTACTATCAGGATGACCCGTTACAACATTCTTGGAATAACCGCGAACATCACTTCTACGTGACGTAGGCGAAAAATAGGCTTTAAAAAATAACAGTGAAAGCTCTACAGGTAAACTAATTAATCAAGAGGACATAAAATCATCTAAAATTAATTAAAATAGGGCTTTCTTTACCACAACGCACTTGACTCTAATATGTTCACAATACTAATGGTTAACAGTCGTGTTATACTGACCCCACAATCCCAATGAACATCAGAAGCATGCCTTTCGCTGCTGTAAAGGACATGAGTATCAACGCGGAAAATGTTTTCAACTTCGAGACTTTCTGTTTCTTCTAGATCAACTTGAAAAATCAGAGTTACTAATTGTAAAATCTATTTTCCCACGCTCCTGCACAAATATATAGAATACGCCTGCATGTTTGTTCTTTTGAAGTGACATTGGATCCTAACCACAATTCTCAAATCTGAACATGAGATAAGTGGGAAAATAGAATTTCAACATAAAACTTTAAGAGAAGTTCAATGATGGTGGCCGAGGTAACAGGCCATTCGAAATTCAATTCGTCGGAAAGGGTGGCTCAGCCTTGCAGATGTGGTCATCCTTGTGTGTTGTCTTATCTCTTTCATTCATAATAAATATATTGTTCTATTCCTAGCCTAAATGTGTTCTCATGTTCGTGCAAATTTTACCTCTATTGATTATCTTGACAACCTCAAGAGTCTTCTTAAGCACAAAAGGTATTATTTCCGTTTTCACTTTCTGAAGTGGTTGCTTATGTAATCTCTAACCTTACCTTACTCAAAATATCTGACATTCTTCTCCGTGACTACTCGTATCTCCGTCACTCATTGTCATACGTCTTCGATCTGTTCTTATACGGAGATTAAGGCTTTACTATCTTTTGTTACAGATGATACGTGTGAGCTTATCATCTGTCTGGCTACTCTAGCCATCTTCGAGATATCCATTATCTGTGCGGTGCTCGCCACCTGAAGCTACTGGTCTATCACTCCGTAGATACTCTCGAGGACCTGAGATACCAATGACTGTCTCTCCGATTCTTTACTCGGTAATGGCAACGTACGGCGTAAAAAGTTGGTGAACGCAGATGCCAATACAATCAGATCTCTGTCCGATGTGAGATACATGACTTTTAACTGCTGTAAATCCGTCTTCTAGTCAACCGAGCTGTCGATCTCCGTTAGCATCCTAGAAAAGAGGAAATCCCAACACTTCTCGTTCGCAGGAACAACTCGATCGAATGCCTCCTTCAGTCTACAGCGAAGTGATATCCACAACACCATCATCATCGTCTTCGGCTGCCCCACGACATCCAGTTTCAGTGTCACCTCAAATCGCCTAGGTGGCTCCCGACGTATGAAACGGCTCCGGCTACAGCACTTTCACCATGGTCTTGATAGCAACATTGATTTCAAAGAAGCAACACACAGGTAAGAAGTATGTATTGTGAGAAGTCACAAAGTATTTACATGATACATGCATATGGCCTTTGACCTTCCGTTTGCATCATTCCGTGTTCGGTGGCATGACCCGTCATCCTGTCTGGACTACGTTTTATGCCAACACCTTGTTTTCGACTAACTGCTCTTCTTCACTTCGTCTGACAACTGTTGCAACTTTGACGACAGGTCCCGCTACACACTGTGTGCAAATAATCTTGTGAGTGGCGTGCAGTAAACTGTTATTTTTTGTTGTCTGTATGTTTGTGCATTTGTACCTATTTTCCAGATTGGTTGGAGTTACTGCTGTCATAGAGTTTAGGTATTCCAAGTTCCGAATATGTCCTCGATGGTAATATGTGTTTGCTTTACTTGACATTGTATTGATCTCACTCGCTGTATTGAACTGCTATACCGCCGTTGACAGTTTATGAATTGATTGCTCTGTTTTGTGTAGTTTATTCAGAAGCCTGTTCTTTGTCTCTCTTAGAAACGTTCGCTATTAATCACTGATAAGAAATTGAGTTTCTCATAGAACCATCGTTTTTTAGTTCATTATTTGTCGAATTCAATAGACTTACTCTTCCATCTTTAATGGGATACTGTTCCTTGAGTGATAGGAATGGTTTTTATATTGTAATAATTAAGATTTTATCAAGCATCTGCATCTTGTTGAACAAAGTGTCGTTCATGTGTCATCGTTCCTACTTACACCTACATTGTTCTCGGATAACCTCTTCCGTATATCGTTATTGCATCGTTACTTTGCCAGTGAACTCAGAGGAGCATCATTGTGACAGACAAATTGAAGCAGTCGGATTTCTGGATTTAACACTAATTATCGTTCAAATCCCAAAAGATAACTAAACTAGTTTTTTAACTCATTGACAAAGTTCAGTATTGATTTACCTTCTGTCTTCGACTACAGGAGAGGTCTCCAAACTGATTTTTAACGTTTCTAACACAAAAGTCCTAAAGCTTTTGCATCGGTTTCAAGCACATTATATGATTTAAATCCTGGATGAATAGACAAACAAACCGTTATTATGAGATGTTTTTCAGTCTTTGGAAATGAGTAGGCAGGATATTCTCTTGCGAAATGCTTTTTGTCTTATATTCGAAAAACTGCAAGTCAGAATGCTTGAACAAATAACACTACTACTAATGTTTCTAGCTTATTTATCGCTGCACAAGATAAACTTACAGAACGGTAGTTAGATTAGCGTAGAGCTATGGACTTAATAACGCTATAATTGGAGAATGAAATAATATTTTACAGCGCAGAATCCAAGGTGTGTGTTACGCGCCAAGTTGTTGCGTTTCTGTGAGTAGGACTGTTGTTTACTGGTTGTTTCTCAAAGTTTATGTTTTTAGAACATAAGTTGGTCGTATGAATGTAGCATGGTCTTAAGAAATGGGTTCTCAGGTCACCGTTTGTCAGTTGTGCAAGTTGTATGGTGGTTTGTTTTCAAAACACTCCTGTTTTTGTCAGCCATCATAGTAAACATATAAATATGTATATTTTACCTAAATAGATCTCTTTAGTAAACGATCCTGGATGGTAGTTTGAACTAACAACTTTCTTGAGTTGGGTGTCCGTGGATCAACTTCGTAAGAATTAGTGGTGAGAGTGTATTATACTGACTAATTATCAGCCAAACAGAAAATTTCTAGTTACAAAACAGTTGACAATCAAAAGTGTTACAATAACAATCGAATGGCAGCTTTGTATATATATATATATATATCACACTAGTTATGGCGCTAAAATGTTGGGGCTAACGAATATAAGTCGTACTGGGCTTACAGTCGGGCTTTAAAATTAGGGTTAGCGTTTTCGACCCAAATTAACATCATCTATTATCCGGTGCTATGCCACCTTGCTGCTTACAATTTGGGAAACCTAAGGTTAAGATGTAGAGTGAAAGTATGGGTAGAGAACATTATCTTTCTTCTCTAAACACTCGACTACTCAGTGAACGACACCAAGTACTAAAACATTAAATTCGCCTTAGGTGCAAGTTTGTTATGCGATTCGGCTTAAGTACCATTTTAAATTCACTTTTTGGTTGCATACTAGGTATTTTTCACTGACTTCAAACATTTTAGTGTCCAAATATTCCCAGTTTTCACTTGACTAGTAAAATATATACGTCATCCATCACCTCACTTTAAACTTCGCACTATCCTCGCGTTATCTTAGTTCTGGTTAACTCAAAGCCGTAAGCATATTATACTTTCACCGGTAAATTTTATATCTTTCATGTAGGTCTCAGTGTGTATCGTGGAGCGTCTAACTCTGATATCAGCTGTTTAGTTTTTGACTAGGCTATCAGACGTTGTGAATCTCAAGGAACAAAAAGTCTATTATTTGTACCTAGCAAAATTTTCAGGTAGTATCAATTAAAATCATAGGGATAAAAGATGTGTTTGTCCTAGTCGAATTTCGACCATGTCCTTGTAATATATCTTAATTTTTAGCTGAAACTGGTTGTCTTGTTTTGATGTATGCTCATATTTAGTGTTCTCTGGATGCCTTCAGAAGCTTAGGATCTTTATATAAGTAACCGTTAGTGAAACTTTCTAGAATATTGCATTGTCATGGTAAGGGCAAGTAGTCAGTAAGTACTGTCGGCCGAAACGAATAAAAGATCGTCTGTGTGTTTCTTTTAAAGCTGGCTGTATTAGTGGAGCCATTTAGATGTCTCAAATCACAGCAGAAACGAAAATTGGCATAGTATTTCTAATAATCGGTCTCGCAGAATATTTCTAAATTGGAGGCCAACAATATGCTCTTATGTGAATGAAATTGTAAACAAGTGTTTGTGTTTGTACTACTTTCATAATTTAAAAAATAATACTGTGCCTATTCAACTCGGGTGTCGAAATAATCCCCTAATCTGTGATACACTGGTTGCTGTTGTATGTTTGTATGCAGACCTCTGTCGAAAATACCTGTACTATTAGCTCAGCCTAGGTTATCAATAAACTCTGTGAATTCTTTCCGCTGTTCATATTTTCTGGTAGATAAAAAGTCTTTCTGAGTTGTTGGTTATGCCGAAGCCCAGTTAGGTTGTTCAGAATAACAATGGAATCGGGTCCTTTTCTCAACTCGGTTACATAAATCTTACATGTATTAAGTTCTTGTGGAGTTTTAATGTAAAATCGCAACTACTTTTCTTTGTTGTTAGTTTTAAAACTGAACCAATCAATATTTGAGTAGTACCAAAATCAGACTAGTGTTAAGGAAAGATCTTTACCAACCACGTTATTTTCCTTGTGCTTAAATGTTCTAGGAAAGTTGTTTGCTTTCAGGACGTTTTCCAGTGAGGATTTGACCGTGATAATCTAAGTAATAAAGCCAAAGAAATACATTTTTTATGCTTTAGTGTCATTCTACATGTTCATTAGGCCATGAAAATAATTTCTTGTTGCATTACAGGACACCTAATCCTCTAGCACCAGTTGTATCCTTAGTTTTACTGTGGGCAGATGTGAGATTCCGTAAAATCTTCTATAAACGTCAAACGATAGGAAATAACAAAGATATAATATTAGAGTAGGCAGGAAATCCATGGTCTTTTATGCCTTTCTCAACATCACATTCATACTTCGATGTTTACAAGTTTTCATAGAGTACGTTAGTCGGGTTCCGTGTATTAACCATATAAGAAGGCTTGCATTTTGTAAGTGTCTTGTGTTTGCATTGAAGTAGTTAGCTTGTGTAAATTTTATGTAGTAATTATAATTTTCGAAATCTCGTGGTTTTTTTCTACACTATTTCTGACAATTTGCTACATGTGCTTCATTATTGTTTAATATACCTCATTGGTTTGTGAATCAGCAGGATACTGACGCACTCACTGGATATTAACAAAATCATCCCTATAAGTAGAAAGAATTTAACAAGAAAATAATATCGATGCCACCTTACATGTGATCATGCATTTTTTTGTTGGGCTTCGTGTATAAACTGATACAAAGGTGATGACGTGTTAGAGATGGGCACTTCTTCGTCAACGTTTTCGTGCAATCGTAATTTAATATTTATTGAACGTGGTCCATTGACTGAAAACACGTTTATATGCTTAGCTTTGAGTTATACACTTTTTTGAGTGATAGTAGTATTACCCGGTTCTCCAAGCAGAAGTGGGTGGAGTGAATTTGAAACTGTGACCCAGCGGTTGAAAGCAGACCACCTTAGCCGGTAAACCGCCAAACGTAATAATAAACAGTTATTATCATAAGAGCATAAAGATAGTTAGAAGTTCTGTCAGGTTGCAATTCTCAGTAACCACTTGTCACTCGACATCAGCATTTTTCTTACACAGGTGGGACTATTGTTGTTCTTCTCACTTCTCATGAACCTGTTTTCATGAACAGGTTTATGTTTCCGTAATTTGAACACCAGTTCATTGATTCGGTTACAACTCTCACCTCACTATTCTTTATTTAATGTTGGGATTCGAGGAGTATTATCTTTTACGTATTAGATACAGATCATAGGGCTGTACACAAGGTCTTTTTAGTTTTAAAAATGCACTGGTCAAGTGATTAAGTCTGGCACAAAAAAATTCCGGGTTTTCGGGATGATAATTTTATACGAATCCTGAGAACTTATTCTTATTGACTTTTTCTACTAAATTATCTTCAAATGAGACGATATATGTGCTTATCAAACGTCAATTAAAGCGTGACTGGTTGGCATAACTGTCATTGTTCCACTTATATTTTTTCAGTTTTATGGAGGTTTATTCTTAATTAGGAATGGTAATTAGTTTGTTATTTATAAGAACTTATTCTTGGGGTTTAGATAACCTAGGTGTTAAAAGTATTCTGTAAATTTTCCTGCTTAGGGAATATCATTTTCAATGGATTCTCAGTTACTGCATTTCAAACTATTACAAACCTACACAAAGTTTGAATTATAGTTTTTCTTTTTTTATTGTGAAATGGTAATTCCACCGTTGGTTTCGTTACTTGGTAATTCAATGCTGTCATGCGGTGATACTATTCCTGGTAGTTTATCTTAAAACTTTATTTTTTTATTTCAAGCAACTACTACTGATTTAATATGAGTAACTCAGTGTTAGAAATGAATTTCGCTCGCTTACTGTACTGTACTGAATGTCTATCAGCACAGAAACAAATAGGAACTACTTACAAGGACTACGTAAAAACTCTTGAAACATTTTTTAATGCGTTGACTTCATCCAACCATCATCCTTCTCCGGAAAATATACGTAAATATGAAATAAGGGTAAGTTCATTGGAGTTTATCTCAATATTTCATATATCGTCCGTCAAATTTTTTCAGTAAGTTATGTTATCTGTTCCACATTTATCAATAAATAATCGTTTCCTGTGGAATTATAGTGGTCTAACGGTTTTCATTAACTCTCGTCAAGTTACCAAATAAATATGGTCCGTGTAGTTGAGACTGATCAAAATATACGTATACTAACACGCGCTTTTTGAATAGCAGACCATATTTATTGATATGTTGATAAAGATGATTTTCATAGGCAGGCTTGCTTCATTGGTGTCATAATATAAGTCAAAGCACTTGATTTTTAATTATTTCGACTTAAACCAATAGATGAACAAAAGCAAGGTGAGTTAAAATCTCGATTGATTGATATTTCCAGTTATTGTGAAGCATCTCGAATATCACAGTCGAAAATTATATCTCAAGATCACCAAGAAGCTTTGCAGAATGAAAACATCGTTATCCTTCTGCCTGATTAAAGCTCATGAGTAGTTTTTATAGACAAGGACAAGTATATAAATATAGTCACGATAGTACTGGATGATTCGTCAATGTTTGTGGTTGATCGGGGGAGGAGTAAATGTTTAACTGTGAAGTAACTTAAATACACATCACGAATGAGTCAAAACACTCCCTGAGAAGGAAATTAGTCATCGATTACACACAGTGAACTGAATCAATAAGGTTCCAGATCATTTTACATGTATGGTCAAACGAATGTATATAAGAAGGGGTTTTGTGGAGACTCACGCTTTCAACTATGAATGTATATAAATTTAATGTTATTCTTAGACCGGTACTATCAATGATCAATCCTCCAGCTTACAAACTCATCCGGTCGTTAGTAAATCATTTAGGAGCCATTTATTCGAAATCATCTGCATGTAGTTTAAAAGATATCTTTAATTCACTTAAGTGTTAGAAAATGTTAAGATCCCTGGGAAATTCATGGTTTCATTTGATATCTCATTATTATTTACAACAATCCCACTATTTGAAACTACACTCATTGTATATGAACACAGTGGACTTCTTTTGTCAAAAGATGAGTTCAAACAACTCTTACCAATATACACTAAAGCTGTGCATTGATTAATTCAATAACACTTTATATCAACTAGTTCACAGAGTTGCTGTAGGTAGCCCATTAGTACCAATTTTAGCAGATACATTTATTGCAAACCTAGAACAAACAAAAATGAAGCCGACAGTTAATGAGACAGAACTGTATGTCAGGTATTTTGACGATACATTTGTTCTTTGTAATAATTATAACCACGTTTCACATATACTAAATCTTCTCAAAAAAGAACACCCTAATGTATGGTTTACCACGGAGTAGAGACGCTCTTCAAGTGTCATCTGGCTTTGATAAACCCATCGAGTGATTGTGTACTAAGTATTCTTAGCCACCACTAACTCTAAATTTGTATCATTATCAGCAGAATGGTTTGGCTGGTGTATAGAACATGTTTTTCGATGGAGTTTTGTTCTCTGGGCTGGGTTGTTTGGTCATGGAGCTTTCACCGTTCTTCTGAACGATATCATCAGCACAAACCTCGGGTAAACATATGTTACATATTCCAAGTCCACCTACCTTCACAGCTGATGTTTGCTGGTATAGGAATAGATTGGAAGATGATCAGGGAGGGCCAAATCAAACAGCGGCTTCTGTTCCAAACCATCCTTGTAGACACGGACTAAGTGGTTGGCGTCCATGAAATAACGGCGATCAGTGGCTGGAGATGCTGGGTGATATGGCTCATAGTCATTCACAATGATGCAGATGCATTTACTCTTTATTTTCCTTTAGATTTTGAATTTCAATATTCCTTTACACACACCTTTCTCTTCTGTTCTTTCTCAATAATATCCCCAGTCTTTCTTATTGTTATTGCTGCTATATTATTCCGATCTCTTTTGCTATTTATCTTTTTAATTTCATTTTATCGTGCTCATTCAGTATGGGAAGTTGGAACAACACACATCTATACCAGGTTGTACGTTGATAAGGATTAATTGACTGCTGGTCTCCATGTTTTTTTATAACTGTATATGTACTTAGAGTAACAGTAGTACAATGTGTTTTAAAAGGAATTATTTCTTTTATTTTAGCTAAAAAAGTTAAAACAGACTTGTGATACAGTACAAAATTCGAATGTACAGTCTATTCATCATCATCTATCACATAGTGAAATAATTGCAACTTCTAAAGTGAATGAAACCTCTCCTGTTAATGATAATGTCAATAATGAGAGTGTAATGGCTCCTGAAATAAATAACTTATCATGTAATGAAAACGATACTATGTGCTCTGAAATAGACAGTCAATCACTTATTCAGGGCACATTTACTGATAGATGTGATTTGATCGCAAAAGAACGCCAACGTATAAATAGAGAATTACGCGAGCAATTATTAGGTGGGTATTCGTATATATTCCATGTTCTCAATCAAACAACAATCAATTTATGATGTAATATCCTGAGTCGCCTATCATCTCGATTCATCCGCTAGCAGTGATTGGTTTAAAATGGACCAATCAGTGTGTTTCGATCTATGCTTAAATACAGTATGCAATAGCTAAAGCATACTTTTTATTGTTATTATATATTATATTAGTCATTAGTTTGTCTTGGTGTCCAGTTGGGTGTGCTGATAGCGATTCCTCTTAAACTGTCACGAGTAAGGAGAAACTATGGGTTTTATAATATTACCGATCAAATTTACGTCAATAATCCTCTTTAACATTGTAATTTACAAATAGCAATAAGTCAATTCTGCTACCTGGAGAGAACACTGAATTCAAAAACTTCATATTAACCTTCGATATGAATCTGTATACCGATAACTAACAAAAGTTTTAGAGCTGTAGAATACGCTTGTCATCGTTTACAATTAATTATTCATGAATGTTTCTACTAAATGTTTCTATTCTTCGGTATAATAGTTTGGTCCATCATCAAAAATACGATAAAAGTATACTGTATAGACTAGCCAATTAGTCTATCGAATTTCCAATGAATAGAAAGTGGAATAAAAAATAATTATGGTTAGAATTCAAAGATAACTTTTGATGGAAGAATTTTTGTCTGCTTTCTTTTTATCTCGTTCATATAAATTCATGTTCATAGCACGTTGAATTAAGCTGAGCCGATTAATTTCTTTGTAAGTAATTCAATTTTAACAAATGATTTTCTAGTATTCTATGCACGAAAAAAGTTAACATTTGTTCTTCTGTGATCGATTGTATGTTTATTATAGAATTCGACTCTTATAGTGCAGACTACTAGTATAAGTTGTATATTGAAGATTCGACAAGGAGCTTGTTTACATAATTATTTAAAGGGAAAAATGCTCATAAATATCACCAAGCTATCATGATTTTCAGTCAGTTAACATGGCTAACATATTACTATGACAGTGACATGTAGAAGTAAGCTACACTGATGACTTTGAATGACTTATCAGTCAATCAAAAAAATATCATTTAGATATCAAACAATTTATAACTAGAAAAGTTATAATATTTCAATAGATAAATAGTTTTGCAATAATTAATACATTGAACAAAAGAAGGGTTATTGTTAAGAGCTAGGGTTACAAGTTGAGGTTAGAACGGAAGAACTCTTTCTAACTGTAAAGATAAAATAGATTTTAAAATAGTATGACTTCGCTATTTAAAGATAAGTTTCAAAGACATTCCATCATAGCTTTAATAAGTCTGTTCTGTTTCTTAAACAACTACTATATAAGAAAGTGTCTTAAAATTACACTAATCGGAAGAAAGCTGTCTCCAAGTTATTTACCAGTCAATTATTTCGGAAGTATTTATTACTAACTATGATGAGTGATGGCTGTACAATATTGCCAATCGATTGGGCTTCGAAACAGAAACTATCGAGTGTCCAGTCAGTGATCTAAGGATCATCTGCACTTCATGAAAACCAAAGGTCTACGGTTTGATTCCTGACGCTCCATGGGTGGGCACTGTCGAACTGTCTCATGCTGGAATACAACAGCTGTCCAGTCCAATTAAATAAAGTCAATTAGTGCGTGATGTAAATAATCCTCAGATCAATAATGTTCAGATGCCTCGTGTATTCTATAAAGTGAGCTTCGTTTTATTTCATGAGTTAAATAGGTTTGTTTGGGTGACCTTAATCGTGATCAGTTATCCTCGTACTTTTCATGTTGTCCAGAACAACAATAAAAGCTTTGCAATTAAACCAATTCAGCTAGAACAACTCAATAATACCAAAAGTATCGACTTGGGCTTTAAATCTACTCATCATTTCACAATCAATCATGTTTAAACTATGTACATTATTTTCTTTTTGCAGGTGGAAATAAATCCAGCGATAAAAAATCATCAAATCATAGTAAAAATGAAAATCTAACACATTCCTCTGGACTTCTTCGTGAACAAGAAATTCAACGTGAGCAATTAGCTTCAGAAATGCTGCTATTAACAACAGATTTGAAAAATCAATCTTCTGCAATGAATCAACGAATTCGCCTAGATTGTAAAACTGTTGATGCTAGTATAGGACAAGTTGAGCGAAATACTGCAAATCTTCATGGTATATTAAATGAATTATCATTAGAGCTTGGTTCCAAATGTGGTCGAATTGTATGGATTCTATTTTTTATCGCATTAGGTTTATTTTTATATATGATATTATTTATGAAAATGTTTCGTAAACGAGTTATTCAATCAAATTCTGTCTATTCTTCTAAATCCGAGTTATAAATTGTTATAGAATGTGCATATTATTGTTGAGGTTAATTGCCTTTGTCAACAAAACACTAAATTTTTTTTAATGATTTTGACTCTTGTGCTTTAAACTATGCTGTGATATCTATTGTCAAAAGTCATGTGTAATTAGCCTCTCTTCCTATTGGCTAGTCTCTCTTACCTAAGATCTTGTAAATGCCATCTGTATACAGTGATGTTTATTTATTTCATTGGGTTCTTTTTAATGAAGTATAAAAGCTCTTTTATAAAGTAAAGTCTCCTCTCTTTTCCACTCGCATGGAGTTTTCATAATTGACATGTATCGTTGTGCATTATTAGCCTTTTGACATATCTAGTCAGGTTGAATACGATGTTATATGTTCATATTGACTTATACATTTATATTTTTTATCGGTACCAATTATTAATAACCGTTTTTTAAGTGTATGAATTTATGAATGAATCTGTGGTTTATTGCATGTGAAGCATATGAATTTCAAACATTAAATTGAAGCAAATTGTACTGGGTTCAATTCCTGGAGTGAACATCAACTCTGGGATTCGATTACACCCAGCTGACGAGTCTGAAATAGGACGAGAAGCGCGTACTGGATTCCATTGCCAACCACCATCCATCTCTGCTCATTAGCTTAAGAGGTACGAATTTGAACAAGTAAGGTTTAAAGAGCTCTCGTACCTTAAGTTGTAGCTCATGGATGGATGGCTACACGAATGTGTACTTGGCTAAATAGTTACGTGAGTACTGGTAGAATTGGAATAATAGCAAATTTTGAATCAGACACCATGTATATATATATATATATATATATATATATATATAATGTACATATCTTTTTTAAAATGAGTTATATTAAATTGAGATATGTATGTCTGATGGGGGTTTTGTGGAGAATTTAGTATTTTCACAGTTAAAATCATGAGTCAATTGAAGCTAGACCACCATCGAAAACGTGGAAGCACTGGACGGCCGTTTCGTTCTATTATGGGAATCCCCCCACTCGCTAGATTCGAACCCAGGACCTACCAGTCTCGCTCCAAAGCACTTAACCACTAGACCACTGAGCCGGTTTCCAACGGTGTTAATGTTCAACTTCAACCGATCCACGAAATTGAGCAACCATTCACCAATGTCATCTCCCAACAGACTTGGTTGAACTCCACTGGTTACTGCTTCTCATTAGAACTCCAGGAAATACCTCATGGAGCTACGTAATGCTAAAAAAATTTAAATTAAGACAAATTTGGTAAGATGGTGGTTGGAGGTAGTAAGCAGGAAACCTTGAACCCAAGTTTCGTGCTACTTCAACCAATCCACGATTTTGAGCGACCGTTCACCAATTGTCTTCAGTGAGCTGATATCTCTACAACAGACCTGGTAGAACTCCACTGGCCACTGCTTCCCACTAGAACTCAAGGAAATATCTCTTGAAGTCAGTCACTAGTGAGCATATGATTATAGATCAGAGGGGGGTTTTGTGGAGAATTTAGTATTTTCACAGTTGAAATCATGAGTCAATTGAAACTAGACCACTATCGGTTAAGGGCTTCGGCTCGAGACTGGTAGATCCTGGGTTCGAATCTCGCGGGTGCGGGATCGTGGATGCGCATTGCTGAGGAGTTCCATAATAGGACGAAACGGCCGTCCAGTGCTTCCAGTTTTTCGATGGTGGTCTAGCTTCAATTGACTCATGATTTCAACTTTGAAAATATGTATATCTATCACATATTTTTTGTCACTACTAAATACTTTTCAAATTTCCAGTATGTCAGTGACCCACAAGTCATTACATAAATCTATACATGTCTGAGATTACTGAATTACATAGTTCGTAATTTGAGCAGTCGCTTTCCAAGTTATGGGTGATAAGTTAAGATAGAGCTCTACTTCAGAAGATTTAGATATGCTTTAGGAAATGTAGGTATGACTTGTAGAGTAGTGCTCAAAACTGCACATGTTTCTAAGTTGTTGGAATTTTCTATTTACCTGAGAATACGTATCCTTTTTTACTAATTTCTGTGGAATGGTAGATTCTTGATATGATAGACGATATTTACCATCCGTTATTTGATCACCTGTATCTTAGCGAACAAACAAATACATCTTAGGTTTTCTAACTCAAGGCCTAACTTGTACCTTCTATTAATAGTCTACTGTCTGTCTGTCGTACAAATTCATTACACATAATAGGAAGTTCTATCATATCATATATATTAACTTTAGTCCTTGTGACAAATTCAACTTACTGAGAGTGGTATGTGAAATAATAATAACTGAGTCATAAACACAAAGTAGGAACGTACGAGTTTACATCATTCAGTTTAAGTAACAATGGTTGATATTTGATTCATCCACATATGTCCCAAATACAATTTTATGCATCATTTAGTGTAAATATGATTATTACGTACATACAAAATTCAATCAGAGTTGAATTTAGTCTAAGGTCAAAAACCAGTATAGTTGAATTTTAAATTATTTGACAATAAGTAATCATTTAGAAATGTTTTTAACGTACTTGACTATTTGGAAAAATTACTCAAATTTCACCAAATAAGTTATAGCTTCGAGTCGTACTTCGCCTAACTTACTTCCAGGAACTAGGGTGAGTAGTTAACTGATACACGCACAGTAGGCTAGTTGGTTAACATTTATTAACCCCAGTCAAACTGCATATTTTTAGTGGTCCTATATATGACTTCAATTAAATCGTATGATGATTTGTTGTCAAAATAAAGATTCCGCCAACCCTCGTATTTGATTAACGACTTGAATTGCGTTAGTGAATAACGAAATTAAATAAGTCAAATACGAGAATGAATTCGTATGCTTCATACAAGCGTGGATCTGAACAGAGAATCAAAGAAACGGATTGGAGGAGATATATGAGACAAGTCCGTTTAATCAAGCGTTACTCAATATTTATATTCAGACAAAAATAGGTTACAGATACACAATGAATAGGGTAAGTAGTTCACACACACTCACATATGAACGCAGTCAAGATCAATAAGTAACAAGGTCAAAATTTGGATTGAGGAGAATGTACAAAGTGGTATGTCCAGAAGTTAAAATAGCCCATGTGAGATTAACAGTAACAGCCATCACAAGGTCCCCCCGTAGAAAATAGCTCATTTATTTGAAAAAGATGTGTTTTTGAGATTAACATTGAAGAGGTATGTAGATAACTTTAACAATAAGTAGCGAAAAAATTCTAATATATCTGATGGAGTACAGCGTCACGTGAAGGGGTATGTAATACAAAAGTACCATACATTTGTAAAAAAAGTATATGAATATCGTAAAGATGCGGACAGAAAAGGAAATGTTAGCATGCAATTATGAACAAATTAATAAGCGTAAAGAAAACTAACATGCATTTATGTCGTGACTGTCTGGACGACAAAATCACGTTTGTGTGAACGATCCCAAATACCGTGAAAACAGTAGTAAATCATTTATGTTTATGACAGTGGAGTGAATCGTGAAAATAAGTAGGGTAAAATATAACAGAAATCGGTCTGTGGTGCGGACAGAATCTGAGGATAAAGAATAGCGAAATATGAACATGTTCTAATAAACCACAGTAGAGTAAATAGCATCGACTAGCGATTGGTCGATTTGAATTTAAATAAATAAAGTTTATATGGGATAAAAGTAATCCAGCAGTAAAATGATAACTGCATTGATGGGTGATATTGATTGCTGTACTGAAGTCGATAATAATCATAAAATGCGAAGTTAGTGTACTTAGTCGTTCGCGTTACTACCAGATGCACCGAGTTGTTGTCAAATATGTACTAGTGAACTGACCAGAGGAACAGAATAGTGACCGAGGAGACGAGATATGCGGAGTCGTATTCCTTTTTGGTTATGAAGTCTAGCGTGGTTTGTGCCGTTGGAGGAACATGCACGAGACCTCGTTTGTTACGAAAGCCACTGCCAGGGAAGTCCTACTCACTGCTTTTTCGCAGCGTGGATGTTTACAAAAGTGAACCAATGGCGCACATAGGCTCCAGGTTCCTGAGGGAACAAAAGGCGTATGAACTTGTTGTTGGTCACCGGCTGCAATAGGACTGCACCTCCTGACGTCGCTCTATTGCTTTGTGGATTGGACCTTTAGGTGAAGGGCTCCGGGTGTGGCCCCCTAAGAAAACCACCCGTTTCGGTTTGGACACCCGAGTAGTATCACAGCCCTCACACATATCAATGTTAGCTGTGGCCCGCGTGCATCTAACTCCAGTTAGATCGTATGATGCCTGGTTGTTGAAATATACATACCGCCAACTCAGGTATATGATTACCGACCTAAATCGCGTTAATGAATAACAGAATTAAATAAGTCAAATATGAGAATGAATTTCGAATTTGTATATTTCAATAACAATCATCATATGATATAACTGGATTCAGATATCGTGCCACTAATGTGGTGAGCACGTAGATAGCATTATCGTCCAATCCAATTGACGTCAAATGATGAACCCTACGACGAACTTGACGTGATTTAAATGGATGATTATATACGAGGGTTGGCGGCATGTATATTTGGATAACAATCAGCAAATGATTTAATTGGAATCAGATATAGGGCCACTAAACATTAGGTAGTATTGGGAAGTAGATAACTTAGAAATTGACACTAGTCCACTGCTGTTACATATCAAGTAAGAATTCATATCAAAGCGACTGGATTTGTGTAAACAAATGATTTGATTCTACATTTTAAAGAAATTATCAAACATGAACATAAATTATCTGAACTTATACAAAACTGGTTTTATCCCGGGAAAAAAATACTTATGACTTGGCAATATGAAGGGGGGTTGTGAAGATTGTTAGATTTTATAGTTAATTTTAGACAGTTACCCGTTAATGATAATAGTTTCATAATGTCACGAAAGTGTAATATATTAGAAATTCATTTGCCTTAATAAAAATATTAACTCATAATTTAAACGTTATTCTATTGAAAACTAAAGGGTCAAAAATTACATATAGTTTCATAATTAACTATTAATCACAGGTTCTGCATATTTCTATGACCATTTATGATAAACTTATTCATATGATCTATATGAATTAATGACTAGAGTTTAAATACGATCTTATTATTGTAATTAGTTACAAATTTTGTAAAATCTAAAATAAAATTTGACTCGACGAAAATCAGTATTTTTAATTCTTATAGAGTTAAAATCATGAGTCAGTTGAAGCTAGACCACAATGGAAAATCTGGAAGCACTGGACGACCGTTTCGTCCTATTATGGGGCTCCTAAGCAGTGCGCATCCACGATCTCGCACTCGTGAGATCCGAACCCAGGACCTATCAGTCTCGCACCAGAGCACTTAACCGACAGACCACTGAGCCGGTATCCAACGGTGTTAATGTCTAACTTCAACCGATCCACAAAAGTGAGCAACCATTCACCAATGTCATCAGTGAGTTGATATCTTCCAACAGACCTGGTTGAACTCCACTGGTTACTGCTTCTCATTAGAACTCCAGGAAATACCTCATGGAGCTACGTATTGATAAAAAATTTTAAATTAAGACAAATTTGGTAAAGTGGTGGTTGGAGTTAGTCAGCAGGAAACCTTGAACCTAAGTTTCGTGCTACTTGGCACTTGTCAGCATGGTGTACCTGTAATTTTGAGGGAACTGATGCTCCCTGACGGATTTGATCCATTGTCACCCAATTTCACAGTCAGAGACGTTATCACTGAACTTTCTAGGCCGCGATCGACCACCTGTAGGACTAAAATGTATTTACAATTGACCGATCAATGTCGAGTGAACTAGACTAGTGGCCACATTGTAACTTAGACGATAAGATTCGATCTGCACCAAGAAAGGCCTGACATACATGGCATTAACCACCCAGTAAACAAATTTGGTAAGACAATGGACTTAGCAGCTCTTAGAAATTATCAATTCTTCAATTAAAACACAATTATATGAATGAAGAATATTCTTTTCAATAATTTCTCATCAGGTTTTACAATTATAAATTAATAATCCATATAAAATTGGCCAGGTTTAAGGCAGAGTACATCATTTAACAAAACTGTAACTGTAACTGTAACTGTGTTTGTGATATGATTTTATTTTATATCACAAACACTCCTTGATTCACATGTAACAGTTTCTTAAATGATGTACCCTGCCTTAAACTTGGCCAATCTTCTTTTATGGATTATTAATTTATAATTGTAGAACCTGATGAGAAATTATTGAAAAGAATATTCTTCATTTATATGATTGTGTTTTAATATGATGGGAATTTTGCAGCGATTAAAATTCTTCAATTCCAGACAGTAAGCAGGATAGAAAACTTTACTATGATGGTTAGTTTATGTACAGAAAATGAGAATATTACATGAGACTATATATTACTACTACTATTATATTACCACATGCGGGTGTTAAGCCCATATAACTTATTCTAGCTTCTCTGGGCAGGCCAATCTATTCATTCTTCCGAGTCACGTTTTGACAATGTTAATTATTCATATATCAACCCTGACTGTTTTTATATGAGCGTTTGTATGTGTACATCTTATCCAACTCATCACATGTTTGTAGCTTATTTTGCTCGGCTATAAATATCGATTAACGTTTGGTCAAATGCAGTTGACTCACATGCCATCTCCATCGCACGTCATCTCGCTTCGCCCTGTCCTCTTCATTCCTCTGATTGTCTGTTCAAATCAATAATTGCACAAAATATACGCATTCAAACATCCATTCTCGTATTTGACTTATTTCATTCCGTTATTCAACAATGCAATTTGAGTCGATGATTATATACGAGGATTGGTGATACGTATATTTCATTAATCATTCATACGATCCAATTGGAGTCAGATAAGGGGCCACAAAAGACAGATCGTTATTTCATGATAACGGGATTTTGGCTAACTGATAGTCGTCTACTCGTCAACTATCTAATAGTAACCATTTTACAGAAACATAAGTCAAAGCATAAAATTTTACCAAGTTAAACACGTGGTATTAGGTAAAGATGGCAAATCAGTTGATGAGGCTGTAAACCCTCATCTGTTGGGGTGGTCGGGACATGAATTATTAACGCCTAATCATACCCTACCTCGATGGTAACAAAGTTGTGCGTTGGGTGGAATGAAGTTAAGGACAGCCAAACTAAGCCACAGTGTCAGCTTATGAAGTTATTAATAATTGGTCTATACCGTATTCGTAGATACAGACTACCTGTTTGGAGTCCACATGAGAATTGTGATTAGTAGTTACAGCAGTGCCTCAAAATCAATTGCAATGGAGGAGCTGTATTTGTTATTTATTACCTAAGTCGGGTTTGGGAGTAGACGACGCTGTATCATTCATGTCTATCTTACTAAACAGTTCAGAGGAATGGAAAAAGGTTGCTGTGAAGATAATGAAGAGAAAATCTTACAAGATAATCCAATCTATTTATGTAAATCAAATGATTTCTTTGAGTTTGTTTCTGTGAGGTTCCAGGTTTTTGGTGATGTCCGATGGATGGTATTCTAGCCACTTGACTTCACTAGTTCTGGCCATTTCGATAGTTATTTGTCAGCTTGTGTATCTTGTAATCTCAATGAGTATGTTCGTCTCAGGGCAGTAGGGTTTCTAGAACCAGAAGCTATCACATTACTAGATAGGAGTTTGGTTGGCTGCAATGTTAAAAATGATAAAGAAAAACATTCGAATCCAGAAGAGTGGAAAAGATGACCAAAAGAATTAAATAAATATATAAATTAACTGATTACTAATGTAGACAATCGGACCAGAACGAAGTGTAAGAATAAAAGGTGAATAAAGATAGTAATAAGCAAGTTTGGAATAAGCCGACAATATGTGATGTCTCAAATACAACTAGTCCAAAAGAGGGATGGTAATCTATGGGTGACTAAGCGTTTGTCGTCTCCTCTTGGAGCTATCTACTGAAAGAGAGCATGTGAGTGTTGGTGAGGTAGTTGTATCTAGGAGATCAATAATGAAAACCGGGAAGAGAAGTGGACCTAAAATGGTTCCCTGTGAAACTCCTGATATCTCCTTACTTTGGTGAGGAATCTTCGGTTATCCAGGGGATTCCGGAACCAGTGATTCAGGGAAACACATTGTTGTGACCTTCGTTATAATGAGTGTGTGTACTACTGTGTCGGATACCTTGTGAAACCGATGGATATTAAATGAACAGGTATGTTTTAGACCCAGCAGAGTGTTCAGCTATCCCACTCTAGTAGACTAGTCTATTCTGAACTCTCGTTGGGTTTCATGAAGAATGTTGTATTTTGGTCCAAGTATTCTGTCCCATACTAAGACGGAACAGCCACCTAGTGCTCCTAGGCTTTTAACAGGGGTCTAAGTTAGATCGATTCATCAATTCAACTGTTAAAATTACTTCAATCTCCACAAAACCCCATTCTGATAATGCTTATATCATCAAATTATCAAAAATACAATTATAAATGAGTCGTATCCACATAGTATATACACAAAACTAAAATCAAAAGTCTTACAAACCAAAAATCTGTAGTCATTTTATGCGATAATAACCGCCCGATAACCTACTGTCAGTCTATCCATCTTCCTACACAAAGGTCAGACGTCTGACAATATTTCCAAACTAATCACAATCAAGTATACTTATCATATTTTAATAGGATTAAAACTATATGTACATATACAAATATAATGTGTTATGATAGAACATGCATATTCATAGGTTCAATTAAAAAGTTTTGGGAGTAAGGACCACAGATATAAAAAGCAAGTTTTGTCCATATCGTAGAAATGCTAAATTGTTTTTATATTATAAATAGAGATGTTACTCTATTCAATGAAACGAAATTAAAAACCAAAAAAAAAAAAATCGATTCAATAGATAACTAAAAAAACAAAAAAGGGTAAACAAGGCAAAGAGAAGATTAAAAAAAAACGGAACAAATAAGTTCATATAGGCAACATACACATACATGTCATTATAGTACAATTATTGTTATTCCCACCATCCTTTTGCCCTAGAATTAAATGTCAATTTACAAAATTTCTTAAAATTGTTTTTTTCACAGGAGATGGTAAATGAATCTGTGATATACAATTTTGAAATAATGTATTGTAATTGTTATTGCTGGTTGTCAATGACAGATCATTACTATTATTATGATGTTTAATTGAACAATGAATAGTTTTCTTCAAAATATTTTCAACAACACATCTTCGAATTACATGAAGACATTGTGTACCAAGACGAATTGATTCAGAACGTGTTGTAAATACAAGTACATCGTGATTATTCGTACTGATGAAGAGAAAAAAAACACAAACAATCGATAATTTAGTAACAATCAAACTGGTTTATAAAGATCAATTCGAATCGAAGTGAACGATATTAGTTGGAGAATCAGGGTAAACGAGAAATTATTTGATGAAAAAGTACTGAAATTAAAAGACAACATTTTAGGCTGTCAATTGATAAAGCAGTAATTTTTCTATTATGGGTCTCGGTTCATGTTGCTATGTGGTCTGAATAATTTTACCGGACAGTCGATTCTATCGGATCAATCAATACAAATCATTTATTCATATATAATTTAAGGTTGGTTAAGAAAGAGGTGTGTTGCTTGCTAAATGATAACCCTGCGTGCGGAATCGTGAATGCGCACTGCTGAGGAGTCCAATGCCAGAATAAAACGACCGTCCAGTGCCTCTAGGCTTTCAATGGAGATCTAACTTAAGTCAGTTCATGAATATAGTAAAACTCAACAATCTCCACAACCCAAAACTGTAAATAATAGTATGTTTCAGTCACCAGTGAGATGTTATTTTCTGATATTTATGAGGCCCAATAAGGCATAAAACAACAGGGGAATGACAATTGTATTAGTTATCGATTCATATGTTATCACATTGTAAATCTGTTTTTATTATAAAGTAAAGAAAAATGTGTTTGACCGTGACAGTCCTGAACATCTGTTTTTTTCAGCTTATGATTCTTCCAAAGTGTGCACCACATAAGAAACTAAACTCAAGGGAGTTTCAAAGTCAAGGTGATACTCTCGTAGGTCAGTCAATTTGAACTAAATCCTCTTCATTTTCAACTCTAATCATTATGGTGCTATGGTTATATGATCATACAGGAACCAAGGTTATATACTAAGAGTCATTGACATATAAGCCATAGTGGTTATGATAAAATGAGTTTCTGTCAGATTATGTGATTAGTGTAGCGTCTAGCACTGTGTAACGCCTACATGGGTTATCCTAGCTTTTGAACGGATTAACTCTTCTTCTTGAGTCCCACTTTGACCTTGTCAATTATTCGCTCATAACGTTTATTGCTTTTATATGAGTATGTGTTTACAGTTGACCTTATGCATTATATGTCTTTAGATTATTTTTGTCTGGCTAAAAATAGTGAGTCATGATATATCAAAGTGAGTTGGCACGCTTGCTTTCTCAAGTCCATTTCGCTTCACTTTTCCATTTCTCATTTTTATGTCTGTCTAGTTAAACTAGTGCATGAAATGAACTCATCCACCTTAGTCTGTATTTAGCTTCTTATTATCGCCGTCACTAAAACGGGGTTAGCCTAGATGTAATATAGGGAGTCAAAATGGAACATTTAGACTCATGGCATAATTATTCTTTTTTCTCAAATTGGAGTCAAATCAATACAGGCCAATACACTATTGAGCCACCATATTAGTGGCAAAAAATGATTAAAATGTCTATTGCGTAGACTGAAGCAGGATATATAAGCGAAAAATATATTTTGTTCTCAGTCGGGCTTCACTCTTAAACATTCAGTTACTTTATTACATGCACACATGCACGACACATATTAAACTAAACATGGAAAACTAAGATCCAATAATATGGATTCTATAGCTAAAAATTAATGGTAGCGTGTTTTCATAGTTATAGTGGTAGTGACAATAATAACGACATTATAATAAATTAAATCTTTTTATATTCAAAGTGGGTCAAAATGTGAGCGGAAAAATTAGATTGATTATTAATAACATTTTATGAGGTCAACCAAACAAACCAGTCCTAATTGAAACGTAAAGGCATAAAGGAGGTAACAATAATTGTAAACTATGAAATTCAAAGAGCTGCACGAAACGTGTATATATATATATATATATATATATATATATATATATATATGTATATAATTAACAATTATATGTTTACTAATGATTAATTCGAAGAGGTGGTTCCTGAAGTGACCAGTGGTCTTCAAACAAGTAGGATTTGAGGCAGTCACCTACCAGTAGCACTGGAAAATGAAAATACAGTATTGTGAATTGATTAAAGTCAGATATGTTAACCAGGAGAAGCCGACTCAATAGGTTGGAGACGAGATGCTCGCCAAAATACATGAAGATCTCAAGTAACGTCCTTGGTGAGGTAGTGGATGTACATAGATGGAGAACCACATACTAGAAGCAAACAGCTGTCAAGAGCTTCCCAGTTTTCAATGGTTATCTAATTAAATTAGTTGGTGATATAAATTCTGAAATTCAACAATATTCACAAACTCACTCCAGTGAAGATAACGAAATCTGGGAAGACGAGTCAAAAACAAGACTATTAGAACAGACTGACTTAGTGCTTGTGTAAAATAATAATTTTAAAGCAGCTCACTTTTACATATATAAAGTAAGCGCTCATGGTCACGATGTTATTGCTCAGAATGACAATTAAACCCTTTCCATATCAATAGACACAACACCAGCAAGAAAGCAACGATTTAAGCTACAAATATTTGCTAGCATTTTACATACAACTGTAGAATGTTATATTTTAAAAGTCATTTAGAAAACACCTTTTAATTTTAACAATTGTAGGATATAACTTCAGATTTAATTAATCTATAGATCAGTAAAACTTGATGAATTTTACTCGAAGCATCGTGATTATATCTACTGTGGATGTAATATGTAACCTTGATAGTATAAATGATTTTAGATGCCTAGGCGGATGAATATAGTACAAAACCTAAATAGGTGAGGTTATCTGTAGTGTTTTCAATTTGTTGTTATCAGTAGTTTCGGTCATTTTTTCGTTCACTTAATACATAAGTATGACATATTAGGCTACAATTTTCGTTATAGATTTTATTTTAAGCGAGTTAGGGTTATCCTAAACTGTCTGTCGTGAACATGTCTAATGAAGAGCTCCTTGATATGCGAGATAAAAAAACATAAATATAGTGTACACTAGGGATTGAAATAGAATCTTTGATTGAATTAACACCATGATATACAGAGTTCAGTCATTAAATTTACAGAAATAATGCCAAGAGCGTTGGATAACACCACATTTATTGAGCATTTAAAACGTTTTATAAATTCAACCTATCAAATGTGAAGTTCCGGTATATAAAACGATTCATTTTTTAACTATTGAGTTGTCCTTGGTTTATTAACTCAGGTTTGTGAGCAATCATTATTCCGTTACACTGTTTAATTTATTCTAGATGATTGACGTTCAAGTCTACAATAAAATGCCTTAGTTACAACACTTAAAAATTTAATTCTTTCGTGTTTGGAAAGCCTTACGTTACCTAACATTTTTACTTTCGTTAGAAAATTTAAGTTTTGATAAATGCTAAAAGGCTCTCAATAACTTTTTAGTACATATCTTTGTTATTACATAATTAGTTACTTTCCCTTGATAACTAATGCTTGTCATATCCCGATATCATAGTTACTGTCATAGTAAACAGAGTCATAATTTTAACATTTTAGGATATTAAACTGATCATGAGAATTCATGTCTTCTCTTTTTAATCACGTAAGTGATTAATATTGTTGTTAAAGTATTGTGAGAACTAACTGTCATGAAATATTGAACAAGTATATCCCTCTGGTATTGGAAAACATCTAATCGTTCATAATTCAGAATAATTGTAATATGTTTCAAAGCATAACAGTACGTTATGTACTTATGATATAAGCCTATCAATACTTACATTTTATGAGTAAACTAAAATCACAAAATAACTTGAATGAACATATACAATACTGAAGAAGCGGATTATGATAAGATATACATAATTCATGATTTAGAATTCTACATATAGGATGATTATATACAGTTTAGTAATAAATCAATAATACATGTCCCTAATGATAAAGAAACACACAAGAACTTACGTAACAGCAACAATACGACCACATGGACTGAAAGCTAAGCTACGAAATTTAAGACTAGTGTGAGTTTGAAGTGCAAGCTCAAAATAGATTTTCAATGGAGAATTGACAGGAGCCAATGGCCATAAACGAATACATCTATGGAAGAGAGTGGGAGCAAAAATAAAAATGAATAAAAGGCTGTACATTTCCAATGTTATTTTGAACTGTAAAAACAATTACTGGATTATGTATGGTAATTTTCAATTGAAAAGTAAGTATTGAACACATGAAATGTTTCTATACACGTATGATATACTGTGTAGAGAACAGGTAATAATTTTCGAATGGTGTTAGAGGTAACAGGCGAGTTGTCACTTTCTGATTATTCATACTGTGTAAGGACAATTCTTCTAGAAAGATATGAAAACAAAATTGGGTTAGAGGTGGTGTTGATGACCTGGAAGTATGATCGCATTACCCAAGGAACATTTGGTTAAAGGTTATCACAATATTTCCCTTCTCTGTATAGTTTCAGGTGCATTAACTATGTACCTTTAAGACTAGCGCCGGTAACGGAAACTTGTGGGACAAATTAAGGTGTGGTATTGTTAGGACTGGCTTTTTCTAACCTCCTTTTACTGTGTGGAAACAAAATATATGTAGGTATTAGTTGTCTGGAAGGGAATATTTTACTGCCGTTACACCCTGGTGCGGTCAGCAGTATGAGCACGTTTTCGGACGAGTTTGTTACTCTTAGTTTTACGAGTCTCTTCAACTAACTAGTCTGGTATGATAGGATCGAAGGGAACACGTGCTTCAGATAATATGGCTAGATTGGGCCGTCATGAGAAGCAAGCCCTACTACTAGGTCAAAGTCATAGTTATGGTCATAAGAGGAAAATCATGAGGCTATTCGTGCTGAAGCACAATTTTTTTTACTTCCTTATGCTATGATTTGACGAATTACCGAGTAAATTGAACTAATAGTCTAAAATACTTGTCACGAGTCCTGCAAGTTTCAGTCAGATAGATTCCAAAGGATAGAATCACGAACCAAATGGCTAATGCAGTAACGAGGAACGTAGGAACTGGAATATATTTGTATTAGTCGAACTTGCCACACTATATCACTATTGAGAGATGAAATTATCGAGACAAACCCAACAGTGGTGGAAGTAGTAACAGTATCAGTATCGATAGGAAAGATTAGGCATAGACAATATGATTCGAGAAGAATGGATTCTTGGAATGAAAACTACTTGCCTATCTTCGCAAATTGTAATGAAGTAAAAATCATCTGGGGAAAGAGATAAACCGTATATATGATGACCATTTGATCCACCACGAAGAGGGATACTGGGCTCACGTCCCATATGCCTAAATGAACAGGAAAGAAAAAAATATTATTAGATTACTACCATACAACTAAACACATAGAGGAGTAGCTATTTCAATGGAGAACGTACACTTAGACTTCAACTTGATAGATAGAAGAGGATTAACACTATGGACTAGACAAACACGTCATGGGTGACTATTCAATGACCAATTAATGTAAACATCTTAGTCCTACAGGAGAACAGTCACAGACCTTATAGCTCAGTGATAACGTCAGAGATTATGAAGCTGGATCAAGCAGGTTTGAGTCCCACAGGGAGTATCAACTCTCTTAAATTCGGAGGTATGGCACGCTGGTGAATTTTAAAGAGCACGAAACCTATTCTGTCGACTACCCTCAATCATTCAACATTAAATATCAGCTATATCAGATAATAGGTTTCAACCCTATTTCACATGTTTCACCTAATGCAGGTGAGCAATAGTATAAGTAAACTTTAAATTTAAGCCATGACTCAAATTACGGTGGATGGACATGTACTTTATGATTGCCTCACATGAATTATAACGAACTAATCAATAAAAGTCCAGGGTAGTGTAATTAAGTTGACTTGCGATTGATTAATGAGTAAATTTGAGTAATTCAGAGGTTCTGAGTTGAAAGAATAAGCATGAATGCAAGGACAATCGAAATATTTATCTGTTCTTATGTAAATTATATTGGTAGCATAAATCAATGCAGACCGATTCAATTTATGTTTCTTCAAAATCAACTGTTAATAAAGTTTTTATTATTAGCAGTATATCAAAATAATAAACACTGTTTTGGACTACAGTTTCCAATATGAATACTGGATCATTATGCCCTAACACTATTTGGTCGACTTATTGATAACTATGCAAAAAAACATGGTTATGAGGAGTTGTTTGACAAAAACCGCATTAAGACCCTTGTAAGCCTAATAAAATATCACTAGACTACAGCCAAATCATCCGGCAGACAGGTCATTGAACGCCGAACAGTTTGCCAATGTTCATAAAAAGATCATGAACAACCAACGCGCATAAATGAATTGCATGCCATCGACAGAGGCATGTACCAGTGATCACGCCTTTTACTTCTGTAGCCTGTTAATACCAATATGTGCTATTGCCTAATGAGAGTATTTATTCTAGCCAGTCACTTAGGAAGTTGATTCACCTGATTATCACGATAACATAGTTCAGGATAAGTACTAACCGTGGGGCGTTACTTCGATGTAAACTAGATCACACCACTCCCGTTTAACTGGAGTAGATCCACAATTATCGAAACAGATTACCTACGTTGGTGATCTACACCCCCGTATAAAAGATTCAGAAAGAAACTGAGTTGTTACAGAGAAAAAATAATTTAGCTTTACGCTTTGGAAATAAGAACTAGTTATAAGTCATGATAAGCTCATAAAATTAAATACATGTTTAAATTTCATGACTATTTGAATCAATAGTTATCAACACTGAACTATAAATTCACTTAAAGCTTAAATGTTACTTAGGTTTGAATGTTCCATTGGGAAATATTACGAAAAATAATATTGTTTGCTCGAATGATTTTAGATTTCGGTTTACTCATCATAAAATAGTAAACTACTAAATGTACAACTGGATAAATAAATCACTGTATCTCTAAAAATCATGTTTGATGACTGACCAAAAGGACAAAAGAAAACAATATGAAGCTCTATCCTGGTAAATTTATTCAATATTAGTTATCATATCGAGATAAACTTAGCTTACAAAATTATGCACAGAATTCTATCAAGTTTTCTTTAAACTTTTAGAATTTGTCTCTTAAATTCAGTAAAAATTATAGGGACACACATAAATAAACCCAATTTTAGTGTTAAAAAAATTTTTTGTACAGGCTTTTAATATACCTTGCTTGCTACTTAGGTACTCACCATTTTCAACTATTAATTATATTCATAAGTACTTATTCTATTCCAACAATCCGACTACTGAATTATCTTTATAGCCGTTTTATTAATTACGTATCTCATTAGTTTTACAAATAATACTAAACTTTATACTGGATTACTTAATTTCAAACTTAATTATTACTGTTATTCTTGCGTAACTAGTGGTAATGACTAACCGATTATGTAATGTTACTTAAGTTTTAATTTTTCATTCGTTGAGTTAGTATATTTAGGGAAAATATTGAGATTAGGAGAATAACGACAGCAGGATGGGCAGTCAGTCAGTCAGCTACACCGTAGGACCAGGGACATTTACGCATCGATTCGAGTTGCCATACCTAATTAGCACAAGAAGATGAACATCGAATTCATAGTAGATAATTTAGTGGTGGTAATAGATAAAAGAAAGATTGTATATAAGGATATAGTACAGGAAGAAAGACAGATATGAAGCGATTTTAATCTCACAGTTTAAGGGAATACAAATGAGTGTACACACCTACACCTACGGCTTAGCTTTAAAGGAAATGAAATAAATGGCACAATTAGTCCTAGATAAAATGTTGCATTAAAGAGGACATATCTAGCCGCTAAACTAGTTTCACTGTATCAAACATGTTGTTCATCGAAACACAAAAAATCCACACCTTATGTTATTTCCAATTGCATCTATCAGTTTACATGTTTGTGCCAAAACACTCACATTCGAAGAACTGAAAAGAGACTTCTTGTTCACATCTGGGAACGGAAAGAATTCCACAATAATTGATATAAAAAAAAACGTATTCCCAACAATCCCATTGCTCTCCATCTTCTTCATAGTAGACACAATGTCGATGTTTTAAAGTCATTCAAAATAATTTCCAACCTACTACGTGACGCCGAAGTCATCTCAATTTAGGAGTTGGAACGAAACCTATGTACTAAGAAGGATATAGCTGTAAATATCTCACAATCCTGGTGAATTTTACTTTTCATGATTCAATTAAGTCATGTCTTATTTCATATTCACAATAACGAATCCCTTTTCATTCTCAGATATTTCTGAGCTTCACTCACCTTACTCTTTTATTCTATCAAATTTCATGGTTGTTAGTACGTAGCTCTAACATCACTATTCATTCTCTAGAAACGTGTTTGCATGCTCTTTAATTTTTTTCTTAGAATTTTCACATTACCACTTTATAATAATTCCACGCATGTTGCCGTTGTTCTACTAATCTTCACTGATATGACATAAAGTATGTATATTGGTTATAAATAATCATCAGCTGGCGAAAATTCGCAAAATATATGAGTTCAACTCATTCTGCTATGTTCTTTGTTGTTGTTTTATTCAGATTTCAATGAATACTTATATATCACAGCAAACGTCATTGCAATGCTATTTACTTGGACTGAAAGTGTAAAAAACTCTTTAGGGAAGAGTCTAGCTTTATTATTTGTATTGTATGCGTGCGTATGAGTTAGGTTAAAACATCCCCACATTTCTTATTCCTTGGAACTTCACGTGATATGTTAAATCTTTACTTCCCTCCTAACAGCCTGTAGTTTTGTCTCCCCGCCCTAACCTTTGCCTAAGAGTTCGAAATTCAAGCATTTCAAGTTCAAGAGTTTTAGACAGCTAAGAACTTGCAAGTAAATCGAACAAAAGGACATAATACTAACTGCTGACCAATATGTTTGGGAACTTACCAGAAACGATGTAAGCATTGATATTCCGGTACAGACCATACAGCACAACATGAATCATAAGAAGCAGTAACTAATAAACTACCATCTTTTGAAAATTTTGCAACTGATATTCGATGGTAATGACCAGATCGTATGTAAGCGATTCGAGAAAAAGGAGATTCAGCCTTGACAAATAAGAGAACCAAGTATAAAAACCAAGGTAAGATAAGAATAATAGGTTAATTAATTAAATCAACTCATTCACCAGATACTGCAGTATGAGCCAAACTCTAAGTGTAAGGACTAATTATAGTACCTAACTGCTCAAACCAAGGTGAGTGCGACTTAGGGGGTTGTTGTATCCCGAAGAGAATTGGGAATGGTAACTTTTGAGGACTATTTATGGACCAATGTAATATGTATATTTCCTATTGTATAATTGTTAAGTAACTAAACTGTTCATATTCGTTTTACTCTTATCATAAGCTTTATTTTGAACTATGAACTATTATTACACAATTTACTATTCTTGAGTTATCCCCAGTCTATTGATTACTGTTCCTCCTATTCACAGCCACTTTTGGCTAAATCTTGTACAAATGTTATTTTCTATTTTATGGTACGATGTGGTCTGTTTGTTTGTTATATAAACCCAGTATGTTTGAGAATAATGATTCATACTACAGAGGCTGTTATTGGTGTTCTGGACTCAACCGGTTGGGCTAGGCAGATAGCAGGACTGAAGAGTACTCAAGACTGCTCATATGGCTTTTGTGTATCATTGGGCGATCATTGCTCTCTGGTAGGCGGTCTTATAACGTTCATATATCAAATAGGGAACATGCACTCACTCAAACGTTATAACAGGGGTACAAATCGAACGCCCTAACCACTAAGCCACCACTCCAGTGGGTACAATATGTTCACTATCACAACTGCATTAATTGTTCGGCGAAATTAAGGACAACATTATAAGGTGATCGACAATCTAATCCTAATCGAAAAAACGTTAAAAGACTGAACCATTGATAAAGTGATATTAACATTCTGGTCTACTCAAATAAATATAAAAAACTGAGATTAGGAAGACATTATCTCATAAACTGAAGGACATCACAATCCTATCGCTTTTTGAATACTCTTCAAGTGCAGGCGACACATTTGTTTAACTCCCGTTTCTAATAATTTAAAACATACTTCGAAATGTTTGAGGTCTGAGCTATTAAATGGCTTATTGTTTTGCATCATCCTTCAATCCAAAATATTTTTGCCATGATCATGTACGTACGGACGACTTTTCTGAATTCAATTTATAAGTAAATAGCCCGAACGGTGATTCGGCAATTGTACCTCAGACGCCTAAAATCATACTCTTCAGATCCCCTGGCCATTTCACCCATCATCTTTGTATGGTTTAGGTGCCAGACTCACATAATCACTTAGTATACACATAAAATCATATGACCGATGCAAGGATGGGAAATAAATGTAGTCAATTGAAAAAAAAAGAAACACGTACATCAAAAAATAATAGGAGGGTGAAACAAAATGAACATGTAGGAGTAAATCATACATGTAAACAGTAATTATAACTTTGAATGACTGGTGGTTGAATATACAGAATATGCCACCAACCTCAAACTAACTAAAGGTGATGAATGTTTACATGATTGTTTGTGTCAGTGAATTACCCATTAGATAGCAGAGGAAGAGATCAATCGAGAATTCGAAATTAAGGCCACAAGCAGTTATCATTACTACTATTATTATTAACTCATTACCAGGCACAGATTCTTTACTTGGCTGCGAGTCACACATTGAGTGCAGTCGCCCAAACTGAGCTAGGTGAGGTAATGTGCAAACCTGGGACTTAGTGACTGCTAGTCGAATGCATTAACCACTAAGCCATAAAGTAACACTCTTTCAAATTATTACACTTCGTTCTTATCAATGTAGTCTATTTTCAGGTGGATTTTAGTGAGATAAAAAAATAATGTATCAACTGTTGAAGGAATTATGAACGACTGACCAACTATTTATTTTTGTCGTTACATGTATAACCGTTAAAAATACAAACTTAAGTGATACAGATATACACATCACATAGATATTATTACCGATTTCTCATGTTTGGTTGCATGTACACAATGAGAAATCATATTTCTTTATGAAGAAAAGTGAAACCAGATAATTAGTTTGTAACAGTGACTAAATTCACTTGGTACAACAATATAAATAAATAAATTTATTTTGAAATGTTCTATTTCCAAATATTTTATTAGAATCTGGCTAAAAAAAAGTGAACTTTTAAACTTGTTCCCTTAGGTCCTATCATGCCAAGGAGGTCAGTTGGAGAACAGTTAAACTAAAAGCAACGCATCCCGGGGCTGCATCCGTACTGTTGACTGTACAAGGGTGTGACAGCAGTAGAATGTCTCCCATAGAGAGCCAGCATCTGCAGCAATACTGTCTCTCCACAACTGGAGGAAAGGGTTATAAAAGATCGATCCTAAAGCTGTCACACCTTAGTTTACCGTATGAATTTTGGTTTCCGGTGGAAATGTTTTTGAAGTTTAGAGACAACACATCAAAAGCCTGCTATAGAAATGTCATTTGTGACCGGCATCAAGTATTTGTCTCTTGAGCTCTATGGTCATCCCCCTAGGTCTCTGAGACCACTGACAAACCATTTTCCATTTAAAATACCCCAAGAAGAAATATCCCTTCACAGCATGGCGATTGGGAAGCGAAAAATACTCTTAAAGCCCTGGCAACACGTGGTATCACCTCTACCTGTCTTTTAAACTTAAAAAGAACGATAAGAACATTAAGGTCAACCATCTTACATCAAGTACAACACCATGACCTCTTTCACCAGCTAGGAATACATGCCTACCAAATGGATGCCAAGCAAATGTACATGCTTCACCTTGAATTTCACTGCATGGTTGATCTGTTGGAATAGTGAATTTATGTCGTAATTTTCCGTACATATTACCATCATCCCATAAATCCCATAATCTCACTTCACCACCGCGATGTACAGAACCAACACGAAGACTTCCATCTACAGCAGCTGAGAGGAGATATACAAGGGTACAATCATCTGTCAAGACATATTTGGGGATATCTATAGAGAGAGATAAGAAAACATGAACTCAAAGTTGATATGTACAGTTACCGAAATTCAAAAGAAACACAAGTTGTAATAAAGTAAAATGCTAATTTGTCTGACAAATCTCTATACAGAGGTCAAAAAGAATTTATTTAACAAAATTAACCGTGTAGATCCTAGACAGGTTGTCTGGATCTACTAACACTGTGCACATCAACTATAAATAATTCCATGAAATGATGTCACGTTTCGGCTTGTCTATGACTAGCTTTCTTTCAAACTACTCTCACTCCAAATTATATTGTGCACCAAGAAAAGTGGTTGTTGGGCATATGGAATACATATTCCTGGCACTTCAATCGGTGAAACATAACAGCTTCATTAATTGATTGTCAAAAAAGCACGTATGGAAAGTGTAGTGGTAAAACAAAGCTGATCTAAAAGATATAATGTTCATGTGGAATATCACTACCACAAACGAAGAGCTGAAACATTTTCCTACGTGGCTTAAGATTCACTTAGAATCTCATTTTAATATAAGTCTAGTTGAAAGACAACCATGTTCTTCTGTAGTTAGATATATTATTATAAAGTGTGGTGACGTGCGGTGTCCGAAATTTGTTACTGAAACACGGTGTGCTATGCGCTAACCCCCAACTAACTACTAGAGCGAGAACACAAGAGTGACTGAGAAAGTGTATTGAGCTACCGGATGAAATGTACAGATATGCATTTATATTTATATATACCACTTTATCTTTAGGAAATTGCCCCACTGACCCTAATGAAATGAATTTGACCATTAGGTCACTTATGGTCGCCATCGATTGACATTTTGCTACCTCTGATAAGCTCTCCATATTAGAAAGATAATAGGATTGGCATGAAGACTGCTTTTAAATTCTCGAAAATTAATTCTTAAATTTTGGTTATTAAAACATTTATCATACCAATATGCTTAGAATGAATTCTCACCATCTTCAGGTCCGTCCTGGTTCATTTCGTTACTATATCTTCAAAATTATGTTGTACTTCTATTATCACTACCCATTTACTTGACCTAAGTTTATTTTTATATAAAATTTTTTGACAAGTAAATTTGTGATCAAGATTCCCCAAAATGAGTTTTGAAGAGATACATTACATTGTTGAAATAATAATTTCATGAACTGATAATACATCAGTCTTCTTTTGGCTGCCTAAGGCTTTCTCTGAACTTATTCTAGAGATTACTGCACGTCTGGCATGTAGTAACTGAGATGTGTTGTTTATGTCGAACCCTAACTCAGTTGGTCAAATTTCACAATCTTGTCCTTAAAATTGTTATTAATCTCAGAACTACTTAGTCAGTTATTTTGTCAAACGCAAGCAGCACAGAGAAGCACTTTTTCCTCTTTGTTTCTATGGAACTCTATATAGCTTTATAATCTAACTAAATATACGATACCCAAATATATAACAAGTGATAAAAAGTGGGTGAAGTATTTATTATAAGTGAATAAGTCTCTTTCTTGTCTAAAAGTTAAAACACAAGAAATGTAGTACCCAAAAGATGAATAACAGTTTTTCAGTGTTCAATTTTCTTCGAGGTATATACATACGACTAAGGTAAAGGCAATTTTACAATCTTTTACAGATACCAGTATATAAAAGTGAACACAACATACTGAATCGGTTGAAGTTAACTGATAGATGATATGACGGGCTAAAAAGACAAAATTACATACTTTTACTTATCATGATTCTTATTAAACATATGATGATTATTCAGTGTAATATTAGTTTTATTTTCAGTGTGCTACTTTATTCAATTTAACGTTGATCTACTTCGGTGTGCTATTCATTCAGGATATGATATTCTCTGTATAAAATTAACGTAAACTATGTTCAGCATGAAATTCAGCATACGATTTAGCCATAATTTTGTGTGACGATTAACTAATTATTGATGAAATACGTATAAATAAGTACATTTTCGACTAGAGTCGTCATCGTTGTGTTTTCCGGGAGAATAAATCTTAACTTTTGCAAGTCTCCCGTGTTCTTACTTTGCGTCATGGGGACTGTAGTGGTTCCGCTTTTCAAAAATAAGTAATAGGCGACGCAGACACAACACGAAATTACAGAGAACACCTCTATTACGAAATCAAATCATATGCAGTATGAAATACACTGGAATATATGAAAAGAAGCTAACACGTTTGTTGAGGAGATAATTAGAATCTGTAAATCAAATTAGCATACTGAAGAACAAAAACAAAACTTACGTGGAGAACTTGATACTAAACTAAATACATTGTAAACTTCAATAACACCAGATTCCAAACCCAACAGTAATAATGAAACTTGTGATTCACGAACAATAGATGATCTACGCTTATTCGCACGGTGGGGTAATCGACAAAATGCACTATCTCCAGTGGCAAAAGTCATACTTATCACATCTCCGTTAGTTTTTATACGAAATATTGGTTTCATATTTACAGGTAGTGCATCACCGCGTAACAGTTCTGATGTTAATATTTTCCAGTTACCATTACTATCTGTACAGTTTGCATGGAAGTTTAGTGATTCTGTATTGTTAGTAATATCATCTGATAACAAACTAGATGTTTGACAATGAGATGATAAAGATGGTTTGAAATTATTTTCATTCAAACACGTTGATCTATGTGGAGTAACATAAAATAATAAACCGTCAAGCTTGTCATTACGGAGAGTTTGTGGAGATTGCCAAGATCTAAAGTTTACATAACGGATTGACATTAATTAGACATTAAATGGTCATGAGGAATCACTAGACAGGTGTAACTAAGGTCAGTCTATGATGCACAAAATAAACTTAGTGACTTGTTATTACTGTTATTATTCATCAGAACAATGAGGGAAGTCTGTAAAACAAGTTAATATACGAATAATGCAGAATCCCATTCAAGCTTTTGAATATTTTGTTTACCTAGTTTAATAAGGAATGTTATCAAATTTCAGAGTAATATTCACCATCAGATAACATTAACTGAACAAAAACTTAAAATTTAAGGGCACACTGAAGATGACTGGAAAATTCGTTACTGTGTAAAGTCATGAGTCCTACAAGTAGGACTGAACAGTTGTGTACTGCCTAGTCTTTGCTTGTTCTACATCTGAAATTGATTAGTTTCAGGAGGTACATTTTGGAATCTTTAATCAAACATTTTACAGTAGCTACTTGAATCGTTAAATCGATGAGCAACATAGGATAGAGTGAGTTAGTGTGACGAATTATACTACTGATAGTTGTATGAAGTAAAAGAACGGTGTAAATGCATTATTAAGTTTTCATATATCTTTGCACTTATTGATATAACAACTTTCTAATTATTTCCCCAAGTGATGTTGAATATAAGTTTACAATGGTGACACTGCATAGCGGCAAGCTTGTGTTGAATATAAATATCTAACCTCTGTACCAAATAGAAGTTTATGTATTTAATCTTCAGCCACCCCATTCTACAGTGAATGATAATATTAACCAACCACTTGGACTAGAAAGGGGAATCATCTGAAAGAAAGTATTCATTAATTTTTCGAAGCACGTTTATCACATTACTTAGCAATAGTGACTACTCAAAATGAATGAATTTTTCCTCTGAAATTTACACAAACATTATCGCAATAAAGAATCTGGAAGTTTGCACAAAAGTAACCAGTGAAAACAATCTTAGTATGAGATTTATACACAAGAAATATTCAACCAAGGGATTGTTAAAGCATATACATAAAAAAGGCCAGGAAAACTTACAGTAAGTCATTTACACAGTAGCCTAAAACAATCTGCGGTTGATCAACAAAGGCAAAGAATCGGCCACAATCAGAAAAACTGCAACTGGTAATATTATTTTGGTGGACACCATGGTAGGCTATTGATAAACGTAAGGGAATTTCATTAAAATCTGTAAGCGAAAAGAAAAGACGATGGTATCTTATCCCGTGAAATAATAATACTTCTGAAATGTTAAATAATAAAATAAAAGGCACAATGATCGAAATAATTTACCAGTGGATGAAAAGATCAGTAAAGATAGATGTATTCAGCGATAGAATTAGATTTTTCCAGAATTAGAAAGAAATTGAAAGAATTATTATTTATTTGAACACATGAATATTGGTACAAGGAAGCACCAGATATACATGCGCCACACAAAAAATCGTCATTTCATTTAACTGTGTGGGGGCTATGATATTGCCCCGGTGCCTAGACCGAAGCAGGTGGCTTTCTTGGGGGGTCACACCCCGAGCCTTTGACCTAGAGGTCTAATCCACAAGGCAGTGGAACATCGTGAGGAGATGCAGTCCCATGGTAGTTGGTGACCAACGATAGGTTCATACGCCATTTGTTCCCCCAGAATACTGGAACCCATTGGTTTGGAATCAGGGTTTTCTAACTCCCCTAGGTGGACCCTGCGTGTCCACCAACCCGGTTAAAGCGCTGGACATTCGCTTTTCGTCCTCTCAATTTTGTAAACAACAGTAATGCCACGAGAAGGCAGTGAGTAGGACTTCTCTGGCAGAGGCTATATACGCGTGGCCGTGTGAGAGGATGTTGAGAGAGGGCGGGTTTTCCCACTCTCGACCGTACCAGAGCATTTGGGGCATTTGAAAGAAACTAAACAAGAAACGACTCACTGAGAAATAGATAACTGATATGGCATAGTGCGTTTTATCTTTGGTATACGAAATAACACCATAGACAAATAACGCTGCACCGAATGTGGATACAATACGGATTAAAAGCTCTATTGATAAGTAATGAAACTTAGGAAAGCACGATGATACACAACATGATTTATATTTTTACGGACTGATGTCGAAAACTGATGCCTGACAAGGATGCTGGGAAAGTGTGAATTTATTAGCTGAATTGCTGAGTACTTTCTAGTACATTTTCCAAAAGACTGTCTAATCGTGCTGCACAATTGTATATTTGTGGTTAATAGGTTGGGAAAGAATCTTTCGTGAACGAGATGACACAGAAATTATGAAATTTTGTCCGATTCCTTTTTTCGGCTAATTTCCTCTCACTGTGCTGATGTAAGATGTGGTAGCTTAGATTAACACAGACATTTCGTCTCAGGTTACCTGTAATCAACTAACGCCATAAAATTTAGATAAATGGCTTAGTGATTAATGCATTTGATTCCCAACCGTAAAGCCGCACGCTCGTATCTCGCTCCGCCCACTTTATCCGGGAAGCCACGTAGTACCACTGACCCTTCAAAAAGGATTGAAGCCAAGTACATACCTGGAATTCCAAAACCAGTTAAATTAATTATCTATTGAGGTCATAAATTTAAAAGGTAACTATCTCTATAGCAATCAGACTAAGACGCGTTTAAAGTTATACGACAGCAGTAATGTTTATTCTGTTCTTTTAATTTGTAATCGATGAGTCAGGTGGTTGGTCATAAATATGCACAACCGATCACAAATGTTCAATTTGCTGAAATTTACATCAACAAAAAGAAGGGTCTCAATCCCTAATAACAGATTAGTCATCTCAACTAGATGCTCTGTGTAGACTTAGCACTAATCAATGGGTGAATTTAACGGTGTAGTGGCAAATACTATTGTGACAGACTTTTAATTCATCAAAACATTAAGATGCTAATAGAAATGATGGGATTTTTGAATTATGGGTACTTTGCAGCAGAAGGTAATCACTTTCCAGACAAAAGAGCAGTTTAATTATCTTTATTAGAAAATTGGTTCATGTAAAAATTAACGTTAACAGTCACAACTAAAATATGCCACAATAATCACATTGATAATTTAGTGCAAAATATTGTCGGTAAAACTGTCCTTAAAATATGGACTCAACTAATGTTTGCTCAACATATTTTTCGTCCCCACAATATATAACCCTGAAAACAATAGTTCGGGTATTTTGCAAGTCATACTGAAACGTAGTGCATAATATATTGTTTACAACTAGAAATTGTAAATTCCCTGCGGTTTCCTTAAAAAAGATTTATTGCACAACTGTAAAGCCATATATAAATGACAAAAGACTCAGTTTCACGTTTTTAATGTTCAGATGTAATTATCCTAGGCGTTTCACGATTATGTTACTAAGTCTATGATTGATTGCGAAACAAGCCAGAAACTTAGAAGTGAATAAAAATCAATGATAAATCCTGAACCAATAGTTTATTGATCCTTAAATTCACAAAGATTGGTGTATTGGATACAACCTGCGATAAACGATAAATAACTAACCATTGCCAACCATTCGCGAAAACCACCCAAAAGTTGATAGTGGCCTTGTGATAACAAACCACCCTCTTCCAGTTTTCAATGTCCAATATGCAAAACGTCTTTGTGAAGAATTATTCTGAAGAAATTGATTAATTTATCATCTCGTGCTGATGTATAGTTAGATGTTTTGCTGGATTAATTGCGCTAAAGTAGCTGCTTGTTTGCAGCAGACTCAGTAGTTCCTACTGATTTTTGAGGTTTAATTGTTTTTATGAAGGGAATGAAGTAGACTCACAACCGTGGAGTTATGTAAATCCACATATGTCTTGCAGCCACCATTTCATGTGGTTCCTCATGTAATGTCATTGAAAAAGAATTAGAAACAAGAAACTGAGTTTATATAGACTAACTAGAAGTTCTTGCAACTCCTTATTTTTTTACTACTTTTCTTCGACGATAGAGTTAAAATAGGTATCGGTGCCACATAAAGATTGATCGTCAGGCGGCTGCTTATGAAATGAACTACTCTCACTTGTTCGTTGTTGTCCATCGTATTACAGTTCGGCATCCTGTGATTCCTGAACATTATTTCACTGTAGCCTTCATCTATTTTTAAACAAAGTAACACATCCAGTAGTTTCTTAGCACACAGGCAATCTTGCCTGAAAGGTACCTTCCACAAACTGATCACTGAAGGAATGCTGCAGTCTATATGTCAGAGTTGTCTAACAAGTTCCCAATATTGCTTTCAGGCTAGCATGTCATGACATATGATACAGTTGTAGGTTCCTTGATTGTAATAAAGATAAGGACTCCACGGGTATTCGGAATTTGATAACCTTCTTTTCCATTACATTTTAACAATAAAAAGTCATCAACTCAGTCAAATAAAAATCAGCAATGAGGGATCTCGAAGACATAATTTGAAGGTAACTTTATGTCGAGAAGTACTAGATCCAATCGGGCTAGTTGTTATATGAAATGTATAACACGTTATACCTGAACGTGATCCTGTGTATGTCCAGTACCAAGTGCTTCCAGCTATACTGTTTCCATCAAAAATAATGAAGTCAGGGTCAAAGTCTTGCAGCACTACTTATGGTAGGGGATTTATTTACTGTAACAGCTGAATCCACACCCTATTGGAGTAGTGATGGCAATAAAACATGACCATATACAAGTTTCAACGCAATAAACTTGCGAATCCTTGTCATTTTTCAGACGACTTGCTATTTCCAACATTATTTGATCGTCAATTCTCAACGTAAGGAGCCCTGTGGTGCATAATAATAATAATTATTATTATTATAATAATAGCAATAAAGTGAACAATAAAAAGTTTGTTTCATTGTTTTCTTCCCCAGTTGTTGGCCTTTCCAGTCATCTTTGGAAAGAAATAGGGTGAAAGTGTAAGTGCGTGTAGAACTACACTCGTAATTTTGTAAAGGATCAAAACTTGCTGGACAATTATTTGTTATATATGTGTATAAATATCCTGCAACGGAGAAAAACATTTTGTACGAAAAATGTTTTGTTTCTACAGAACAATGAACACAGAACTGATTATTTTAAAGACTTAACCACTGATACAAAGGTATTCTTAAGCATGATATCTATGCATTAAACTTCCACACCTCTACTTCAATGATTGGGAAGTGGTCTGACGAAAAATAAGCAGTTTCGAATTAGTTATCCACAGACACTTCGAAGCACCCTGTGCATGAAAAGCTCTTTTGAAATGGCCTAAAAACCTTTTTTCGACTAAACAACTCAATAAGCACCTATTTCGTCATGTAACATTCAAAGATTTCTTGATGCCAGAAATGGATAACTGGACTCATGATCGCATACCTCAAATAACAAGGCTTACGCATGTAATTCAATTCTAGAGTATGTTATCAACATGTTTTACAGACATTAAAATTCCATCGGTATTTTTGCGAATTTCGCCTATTTCTAACGGCAACTTTGCTCAGAAGCCATTTATTTGTTAATTAGCATCCAACAGGAGGAAACGTTTTTGGCAACCTAGTTGGTATTTTAATGAAAGGGCTTGAAGAGAAGGTGTTCACTAACACAATCACTTTTGAGTTAATGAAAACACGGCGTTCACATTTTAAGAAACGCCTATGAGCATTTACTTGAGTTTGTCTGAAAAATAGCTGAATATGTTGAGCAGTTATCTTCCTATTGTAGATGTAAATAATTATCCAAAATCAATAGCTCTTTAAGTGCTCGACATTGGATGCTGACCACATTGTTTTAAGTGAACTTGTGTTGGTTAATTTGACGGTTATGTATTGTGATATATTTTTTTCGAGTTTTCATATATACTTTAATTATTTATCTTTCGCTCATCATAATACTTAATTTTTCACAATGACGGAACAGTCACCTAAGGTTTTTAAGTTACAATCTATTCCCACACCTTCGATTGAGTTAACGCCTTTTTGGCCTGACAATACTGAGTCCTAGTTCTCAGAAGCTGACTTTTGCGGGCACGGAATCACGGACTCGCTCACGCGATTCCTCGCGGTAGTTATGGCGTTATCGCGCGAATTGAACAGGTACGTAACACCTAGTATGTTTACTAGTGATGTTCCGGAACCTTACGAGACACTCAAACGGTCGAATCTAAGATGCGGAGATCTAACCGATCGACAATGGTTGGATCACCTACATAACAATATCGACCTGCAACATGGTTCCGCGACGGACATGTTAAGTATGAGAGACGTAATAGGTCAAAGAGTTTTCGACGATGGCCTATTTAAACGAGTTTTCTTGTCCAAACTCCCAAGACAGGTGCAGGCAGTTCTCGTCTCGTTCCAAAACAACGCCGTAGGTGAACTAGCTGCATCTGCCGATAGAATTCTAGAAATTACCAAATCCACTAGCGCCGAGGTTTTTTCAGTCAAAGAAAAACCTCAAACGACCCAGAATGACATTAACGAATGATGTCACACACTCACCCTATACCTTAGATTTCGTAATTACTGTAGTCGGTCAAGAACCGCGTGAAGAAGTGTTTCATGTGAGCGGTCTGACTACGAGAGACAGATAATCCCGACTGGTGCTGGTATCATAACCAGTATGGTAAATCTTCTAGAAATGGCACCAAGCCCTGCAATGACACGATCTCTAAGGCGACTGACACGAATAAAAAATCGGGAAACTTCAAAGCCGGCAAGAGTTAACGGCAACCGTAGACGGCGAACATAGCCGCCTCTTATACGTTACGGATGTGACAACGAAAGTTCGCTACATCGTCGACACCGCAGAAGTTAGCGTGCTTCCCGCGAACTCTAACGACAGACTTCACGAGTCTGTTTTAAGTTTACAGGCGACAAACGGAAAGCAGATCGCTACATACGGCAAAAGGTACGTCTACCTTAACGTGGGTTTACGCAAACCCAACCACTGGATTTTCGTTGTTGCAGATGTCTCTAAGTCAATCATTGGTATAGACCTGTTTCAATACCACAATCTACTCATCGACACTCGCTCACGAAAGTTAATAGACGATAACACTAAGTTATCTGTTTGCGTAACTCCTTTTTCTGGTTGCAAATTACCTCCAGTCACAGTTAAGCACTCCATAAACCCCCTATATCAATAATTACTCGACAAATACTCCGGGATATACCAACCGCAATCGAAATTGCTTTGCGTAACCAGCAATGTTACACATCACATCTCGACTACAGGACCACCTGTATTTTTAAAAGCACGACGATTGGCTCCCGAAAAGCTGAGGTTAGCCAAAAACGAATTTGACCACATGATAGACCAAGGAATAATTCGACTGTCAAATATCCATTGGTCATCTCCCTTGCACATGGTCCTTAAAAAGAACAGCAATGATTGGCATTCAAATGGTGAGTATCGGCGTCTGAATGCCAAAACAATTCCCGATCGTTACCCGTTGCCCCACATTCCAGATTCGACAGCTACCTTGAAAGGTACAACTGTCTTTTCGAAAATCGACTTGGTTAAAGCTTATAACCAAATACCTATGTCAACTGACGACATTCCGAAAACCGCCATCATCACTCCTTCCGACCTCTACGAATTCTTACGAGTGCCTTTCGGACTAAGAAATGATTCATATAATCATCACACTTCATTATCGAGTGTCCTCCAAAGAAGGGAAGACCGCATTTCGAAGTTGCACCGAATCAAACTTAGTGCTCTACTGAAACATAAAGCCTTTTGTAAGATTACTGCTCTCATTCTATTGTCCTTCAAAATTGTGACTGTCACTATAGAGGACACTTTTCATATCGCTCATGTAATAACATGACAAGTTGTCAGCGAAATATTTTGAAGCCAGTAGAATATTTTATGGTCCTTGTGAACAAGGATTCTAGTTAAATGATTCGAAATTCAGACGAGGAAAATCTTAACCACCAGAAACAACTAAGAATAAGTGGAGAGTATTTTTAGGACATTATGAAATACAAAAAATTAAATTAAGGATGCCACATGTGTTCGGAGTTTGACAGTGTAACACATAACACAGTAACTCCTTCTTCTGTGCTATATGAAATTTTTTAAGTAATTTTTCTTTACATTGTTTGTACACAATGTGAACGATTAGAAACATTCTAACTATTTATTCCAGTTGTGGATTTCCTTTTGCTTGATATCCGTATTTGTATTCCGTTTGTGTTCAAATGTAATTCCTGATCACATCACGCGTCAGCTTATTGAGATTACGAGTCGATACTGTTGGTCAATCATTATCTGGCCAAAGGAATACGCATTGTTGAGTATCATCTTGTTATTGTCGAAGTTTTAAAATTACAAGGCCGAAACATATTACACCTCTAGAGCTATTTCCACAGACTATTCGACAACTAAATCCGCCTGTAGCTCCCCTGAGGGTTACTGCCGGTCCCAAGCCCGGATAAAGGAGGAGGATTGGGCATGGGGTTAGCGACCCCATCCCGTAGAAAATCAACTCGCTAAAAAAACGCTAACCAGAAGAAATCATCCAAACCTTTCAAACTCTGCCCTGTGAGTTGAAGGAATAATTATGACGTCTCATGATGAAAGCCGAGTTCCTTCGGAAGTCATGAGGACGATGCACCTTCTTACAACCAGAGCGACAATTTTTATGGGTACATGGAATGTCCGAACAATGTTGAAGACCGGAAGAGTCTTTCAAATTGCTGCAGAAATGAGAAAATACAACCTGGAGGTGCCTGGAATCAGCGAAACACATTGGACGCAGGTTTGACAACAACGACTGTCTTCAGGAGAACTTCTGTTATACTCCGGTAATGAAGAAGGAAATGCCCCACATACACAAGGAGTTGCATTGATGCTGTCCAGAAAAGCACAAAATGCACTTATTGGATGGGAATCTCATGGACCAAGGATCATAAAAGCCTCCTTCAAAACAAAGAGATAAGCTTGTAACATGGTACTCATAGAAATAGTGTTTTCCAACAGGATGTGAAACACAGAGCATTGTGTGAGGTATGATATGTATCCAAAAAATAAGCGTGAATGAGCCCAACATCACAAAAGGAGGGAGGATGGAGTCACTGACCAGCAAGCACTGATGGTGAGGGCGATGATTTCAATCCACCCGTGTTTGTGGGGCAGAACATTTTGTTTGTATCAGGCTCTTTATGGATGAGAACAAGTCAATCAATCTGTGATATTGAGGCTGTTCTCCTACACTCACCATTCAGACTCATGTTTCTAATTTTTGTGCTGGATTAACTATTCTACTAAGACAACCTTTAACATGCTAACTCGGACTTTTACATGAAAACTGTGTGGCAGGCATCGGATGATGAAAAAAACAGACTGTAAAGGATATGGCTGCTATTTTACTCAACACTCTACTCTCTATATGTACTCTCTGTTCTTCCTCATTCCAACCTTGACTTCCCTCCTTCATTGGAACCTACTCCACCTTGATAAATATCACAACTAATTGTTCGTTATTACTGCATTCTCTCCTCTGGAGCCCCTAATCACAGTTCACTCTTGCAACATGAGCTAGTATCAATTTAATCTAATAATTTATCGTACCTCCATCTGTTCCACTAACAAATGTTAAGCATTGGTTATCGTTCATATACAAATGCTGTGCTGCTCCCCGGTTTCCTTTTCTTTTTTTCTTCTCTTCAGAACCTTGCTCTGAGGGTGAAGCTATGTAACTTCTGACATCTGGAACAAGCTCGACGAACGCGCTTTCCCAAGGTCATAGTTCAAACGAGGCGCTCCACCAGCCTACTTCATAACAACTATAAACTTAAAAAGCTGCATTACATAAATACTTAGCACGACCGAAACCCTAATGCACCTTTTGTCGAGATTGGATCTGGTATGTAACGTGGACGCCATGCCCCTTTGGAAACTATTCTTATGAAAACACATATCTGAACGAATGAACTGCTATCAACTTTTATAGATTTTAATTACTAAACAACCTTGCTTGGGATGCATACTGTGAACCAGTATATGTTGTAAATTGTAGATCATGCCTGTAAAAATGGCGTGTACCTGCTATTGCAGAAATATATTATTATTATTATTACAATGAACGTCATCCAATGCTACACGCCTACCAACGACTACGATGAAGACGCTAAAGACCAATTCTACGATAGGCTGCAGTCGATCTTCGAGAAGTGCCCAACCAAGGACCTGACAATTCTGATGGGAGATCTCAATGCTAAGGTTGGAATGGACAACACTGGATACAAAGACGTCATGGGACAACATGGACTAAGAGAAAGGAACGAAAATGGTGAGAGATTTGCAAACCTATGTGCCTTCAATAAACTGGTCATAGGTAGCAACACATTCCCTCACAAAAACATACACAAAGCCATTTGGATTTCACCGGATCACATTACACAGAATCAAATAGACCATATCTGCATCAACAAAAAGTTCAGGAGGACGATGGGGGATGTGAGAACCAGAAGAGGAGCTGATATATCATCCGATCATCATTTGCTGGTCGCCAAGATGAAACTAAAACTCAAGAAGCACGGGACAACGGCGCGGACAACATCACAAAAGTTTAATACGGCCTTTCTTCGAGATGCAGACAAACTCAACAAATTCAACATAGCCCTCAGCAACAGGTTCCAGGCCTTTCATGATCTACTCAATGGAAAAGGGACTACCGTGGAGAGCAACTGGAAAGGTATCAAGGAGGCAATCGTTTCAACGTGTCAAGAGGTTCTGGACCAAAAGAAGCACCATCACAAGGAATGGATCACTGTCGGTACACTGGATAAAATTGAAGCAAGGAGGAACAAGAAGGCAGCAAACAATATCAGCTGAACCAGAGCGGAAAAAGCCAAGGCACAAGCCGAATACACAGAGGCAAACAAGCAAGTGAAGAGGAGCATCAGAACGGACAAACGTAAATATTTGGAAGATTTAGCGATGACAGCGGAAAAGGCTGCAAGAGAGGGAAACATGAAACAACTGTATGATAAAACAAAGAAACTTGCTGGAAATTACCGTAAGCCAGAAAGACCAGTGAAAAACAAGGAAGGCGAAGTAATCACCGACATTGAAGAACAACGAAACAGGTGGATAGAACACTTCAAAGAACTCTTGAGTCGACCAGCTTCACTGAACCCACCCAACATCGAAGCAGCACCCACGGACCTCCCAATCGATGTTGGCCCACCAACAATTGAAGAGATCAGCATGGCCATTAGACAAATCAAGAGTGGCAAAGCAGCGGGACCAGACAACATCCCGGCAGAGGCACTGGAAGCAAATGTAGCAGCAACTGCCAAGATACTCCACATCCTCTTCAGTAAGATTTGGGATAAAGAACAAGTACCAATAGACAGGAAAAAAGGACTTCTGATCAAGATACCAAAGAAAGGCGATCTGAGCAAGTGCAACAATTACAGAGGCATCACTCTCCTCTCAATACCAGGAAATGTCTTCAACCGGGTATTGTTAAACAGGATGAAGGATTCCATGGACGCCCAACTTCGAGATCAACAAGCTGGATTTCGTAAGGATAGATCGTGCACAGATCAAATCGCAACTCTACGTATCATTGTGGAACAATCACTTGAATGAAATTCATCACTCTACATCAACTTCATCGACTACGAGAAGGCATTTGATAGCGTGGACAGGACGACACTATGGAAGCTTCTTCGACACTACGGCGTGCCTGAGAAGATAGTCAATATCATATGGAAATCCTATGATGGACTAAACTACCTAATCGTCCACGGAGGACAACTCACCGATTCATTCGAGGTAAAGACCGTTGTTAGACAAGGTTGCTTACTCTCACCCTTTCTCTTTCTCCTAGTGGTCGACTGGATCATGAAGACGTCAACATCTGGAAGAAATCACGGGATACAGTGGACAGGCAGGATGCAGCTGGACGATTTAGACTGCGCGGATGATCTGGCTCTTCTATCACAAACGCAACAACAAATGCAGGAGAAAACGACCAGTGTAGCAGCAGCCTCAGCAGCAGTAGGCCTCAATATAAACAAAGGGAAAAGCAAGACTCTCCGATACAATACAATATGCACCAATCAAATTACACTTGATGGAGAAGCTTTGGAAGATATGGAAGCCTTTACATATCTGGGCAGCATCATTGATGAACATGGTGGATCAGATGCAGATGTGAGGGCGCGGATCGGCAAAGCAAGAGCAGCATACCTACAACTGAAAAACATCTGGAGCTCAAAACAATTGTCAACCAACACCAAGGTTAGAATTTTCAATACAAATGTCAAGACAGTTCTACTGTATGGGGCAGAGACGTGGAGAACTATGTAAGCCATTATCCAGAAGATACAAGTGTTTGTTAACAGCTGTCTACGCAAGATACTTCGGATCCGATGGCCAGACACTATCAGCGACAAGCTACTGTGGGAGACAACAAATCAGGAAGAAGTACTGGAAGTGGATTATGCACACCTTGAGGAAATCAGCTAATTGTGTCACAAGACAAGCCCTCACATGGAATCCTGAAGGTCGAAGGAGAAGAGGAAGACCAAAGAACACATTACGCCGAGAAATAGAGACAGACATGAGAAGAATGAACAAGAACTGGATAGAACTAGAATAGGAAGCCCAGGACAGAGTGGGTTGGAGAAAGCTGGTCGGCGGCCTATGCTCCATTGGGAGTAACAGGCGTAAGTAAGTAAGTAACTCGACAACTGATAGCTCTATATTGAAACTTTATATTAAGTTAGACTGTAGGCAGTTGTATTGTTACAAACCTACATGATTTATTCTAACATATGAACGAACAAATTATTCTAATCCTTCCAATTTTTCTATCACTCATATATTCAGGCTTGTGTAGTGTTTGTACGAAGTAATGATTCCTTTATACTTGATGATTGCTTAATTCCGTTTTACAATTACAATACATTCGTTTGTGCTCAGCTAGTGCTTCATGATCTGAAATACGCTATTTTGGGGATTCCTGGTTAGTAAAATAAGTCTAATTCTTCTGAATATCGTAACTTGTAAGTTATTTGCCCGTAAGATTGAGTGTTCTAATATGTTGGTATATCTGTTTGTTACTTACTCTATTCGCTGCCTGTTTTTAGCTAATTTTTCTATTTGTCCATAATTGTCAAGTCACGCTTACTGAAACTGAAAAGGTGATGTTTACCTTTGTACATAACTGTGTTGTTTAAATAAATCAATGACTTCTTGGTATTGATGACTGTTGTAATTTTGAATTCCAAATACGATATATTCGTTCGGGCTCATCTAATACTTCTTAATTAAGTTGCGTTATTCCTGGGATTACTAGTTTATACTACAATTCAAATACTTCTGATTATCATAATAACATATACCTGGACAAATAGATTTCTCGATACATTTTCTATCTGCTTCTGATGAGAACTGTCACCTAAAACAGATAAAACTGAAATTTGCACGAGCCGTATATATTCAAACATTTTTATTTAATATTTAGAACAGAGAAATGAGAAGACAAATTTTATGAGATAGTACCATTTCGTGCTTTCTCGTCAGTCACATACAAGCAACATGTTATTCGTGTAAATACAGTTTTGAAGATAAGGTCAAAATTTCTTATTTAGCATGACATTCACTTACTAGAACCATGGTAAACAAAGGTCAACGTACAGTTGTTTTTGAACACATAAAGTTGGACTTTTCCGACCAATCAAGATAGCTTCGAGTAGTTTGAGTGTGTGTGGGTTTTGATGACATGTCACAACTCTAAAGGCTGATTTTGGGTCAATTTGATGACCACTCATCATTAGATGTTTTGCAATGGACGAGGCTGGGTTTCTTGATCGATCTTGAGATGACGGGCTAGGTGGATGAATCATGGATTTGATTAACCATCTTGGACTTCATTTTCGAAACCAGAAAGTCATATGGTCGATCAACGAGAGTGTGTGGCTTCTGTCTACTGAACGAAATATTTATTTAGTGTTCCTTAGTTGTTTAACGAACGTTAATTCGTGATTCAAACAATCCATCGTTAGCTTCCAACTGCAAGTGTTAATTCCTGATCATCAGCTAAGTAAATACGAATATTTTGAATGATTCAAACAATAATACTGTCATATGAACGAAGAATATTCTTTTCAATAATTTCTCATCAGGTTCTACAATTATAAATTAATAATCCATAAAAGAAGATTGGCCAAGTTTAAGGCGGAGTACATCAATTTAAGAAACTGTAATACGTGAATCAAGGATTAATTATCAGAGTGGGTTTTGTGGAGATTTAGTATTTTTCATAGTTTTAAAGCATGAGTCAATTGAAGCTAGACCACCATGGAAAACCTGGAAACACTGGACGGCCGTTTCGTCCTATTATGGGACTCCTCAGCAGTGCGCATCCACGAACCCGCTCGCGCGAGATTCGAACCCAGGACCTACCAGTTACGAGCCGAAGCCCTTAACCGATAGACCACTGAGCTGGCATCCAACGGTGTTAATGTCTAACTTCAACTGATCCACGAAGTTGAGCAACCATTCACCAATTGTCTTCAGTGAGTTCCTATCTCACAACAGACGTGGTTTTGAACTCCACTGGTCACTGCTTCTCACTAGAGCTCCTAGTTATACTTCTCGAAGTCACTGGTGAGCATATGATTATATTAATTATCAGAGGGGGTTTTGTGGAGATTTAGTATTTTTCATAGTTTTAAAGCATGAGTCAATTGAAGCTAGACCACCATGGAAAACCTGGACGGCCGTTTCGTCCTATTATGGGACTCCTCAGCAGTGCGCATCCACGAACCCGCTCGCGCGAGATTCGAACCCAGGACCTACCAGTTACGAGCCGAAGCCCTTAACCGATAGACCACTGAGCTGGCATCCAACGGTGTTAATGTCTAACTTCAACTGATCCACGAAGTTGAGCAACCATTCACCAATTGTCTTCAGTGAGTTCCTATCTCACAACAGACGTGGTTTTGAACTCCACTGGTCACTGCTTCTCACTAGAGCTCCTAGTTATACTTCTCGAAGTCACTGGTGAGCATATGATTATATTAATTATCAGAGGGGGTTTTGTGGAGATTTAGTATTTTTCATAGTTTTAAAGCATGAGTCAATTGAAGCTAGACCACCATGGAAAACCTGGAAACACTGGACGGCCGTTTCGTCCTATTATGGGACTCCTCAGCAGTGCGCATCCACGAACCCGCTCGCGCGAGATTCGAACCCAGGACCTACCAGTTACGAGCCGAAGCCCTTAACCGATAGACCACTGAGCTGGCATCCAACGGTGTTAATGTCTAACTTCAACTGATCCACGAAGTTGAGCAACCATTCACCAATTGTCTTCAGTGAGTTCCTATCTCACAACAGACGTGGTTTTGAACTCCACTGGTCACTGCTTCTCACTAGAGCTCCTAGTTATACTTCTCGAAGTCACTGGTGAGCATATGATTATATTAATTATCAGAGGGGGTTTTGTGGAGATTTAGTATTTTCATAGTTGAAAGCGTGACTCAATTGAAGCTAGACCACCATGGAAAACCTGGAAGCATTGGACGGCCGTTTCGTCCTATAATGAGACTCCTCAGTAGTGCCCATCCACGATCCTGAACTCACGAGATTCTAACCCAGGACCTATCAGTCTCGAGCAAGAGCACTTAATCGATAGACCACTGAGTCGGCATCCAACGGTGTTAACGTCTAACTTCAAATGATCCACGAAGTTGAGCAACCGGGATTTTATTTACTTACCAATAATCTCAAATCACTTAATAGCCGAATAAACTCATTTACATGCCGATTTTATTGAGATTTATTAGTGAATATGTTTGTGATGTGCAGTAAGTTGCAGAAGAAAAACATTATACCCTAAGGGTTCCTAAATGATTGTTATTAGGACAAACTGTTGAATACTAATGAGTAGTATATTGCACAACACAACAAAAACGCGAACAAAAACGTACATGCATTTTTATGGTGCACAAAATCACTGATTCTATTTATTGTGGAATCCTCTATCTCAATTTGAGGACTAAAGTGTACCAGTGTTAAATAATTTATTGACTTATTTTAATATTGACTACTATCTGATGGTGGTCGATTGTTCCCGGTATTATATAATGAATAGACTTACGTTGAAAATGTGGGTTATCTGTTCAGTAATTAATCTTAAGATTGATCCCAGTAAAGATTGAGGGCAGTGAAGTCTATCCACCATAGGGTAACGTAAGTGTATTAGTCAGGAGTACGAAGCGAGAACTAAATAATCCTTCAGTAACTACTTAGTTTTCGTAGTTCACCGATTGATGTCAGTCAAATGATCATCACACAGATCTAACTATAATGTTGTACAAATCCCACCCAACGTTTTATACAAGCATCTATTGTCATTCTAGTTAATTACCTTCGGAATTTCTCAAGGGTCGTGTTATGATTTTATGTCCGGCTTTCATTACGTGATTTATTCACCAATCGAAGCACGACTTCTCCAATCTTAGCACTGTGTTAAATCAATGACGTTCGACCAGTATGAGTAGTCTAGCGTCCTTATTGGTCCCTTGTCCACCTCGCCTTTCCAATTGAGTCCAAAACACCAATTTAAGCTTCTGCTATGCGAATCATTTATTTCAAGCATACTCAGTTTATATACTAGACAGACAGACCGCATCACACCATAAAACAAAAAATAATATTTGTACAAGTTCAAGCCAAATGTGGCTGTGAACGTGGGAGATAGTAATCAATAAACTGAGAATAATTTAGGAACAGTAATTCCATAGATCAAAGTGAAGCTTTTAATAAGATGAATATAGATATACACCATCTAATTACTTAATAGTTCAACAATAAGAATATATATATATATATATATATATATATATATATATATATAATTATCCATTAGTAGGTCCCGGAAGCTACCCGTACTTATGTCTTCGCCAGGATATAACATGTACTGAATAAATTACACAAATAAAATAAAACGAATATTATATTCAGCAACCATTGCACTAAATAAACGAAAGTAATAATTGGCAAGAATAACATTATTTTACGTTTTTATACCGTTCTAATATACTTTAATGTTGTTGTTTTTCTAGTCTATTACAAAGATGAGTGTTGATATGTAAGCAAGAACAAGTATTTGGATAATAGAAAAAGAAGAAAAACACACTGTAATAAATATTAGGAAGGTAAACTGGTTATGTCCATAAAAAGGATAAAATTGATAAGCAGAAAAGTAACAATGATACCATAGAACTTCGAATAACGGATAAGTTGACTTTTAAAATAAAATATTTGTTTTAATAGGACGCGTGGAGTGGGTTTATGTAATGGTGATAGTTAAGTGGCTAAATAAGTCATCTTTCAAACATTAATTTACGAACTCGAAACTAACCCTTAGTTTCTAGGTTTAATTGGTCAGTCAGTACTGTAATAAACGAAGACTTAGTGTGGAAAACCAAACTATTGTTATATACAAAAAGTCAATAGGCGGATAAGATAATTACCAATTTCCATAATAAGAAAATCGACCACAATTAAACAAAACGAAAGAAATTTCTTATTTTGAATATATAATAGAGAATTTCTAAAGCGAGTAGACTTACATATCGTAACATAACTTTTCTAGAACAGAATACTGCAGTTAAAGAACTACTACTTCATCGATTTAACAATAGAAATCACTAGAAAACTGTCAACAGGAAACTCTAGAATTGAGTTTTCCGATAGTTGGTATTCGTCAGCAAGACGTACCTGACCTTGGGGGGACTGATGTTTTTAGTGGGATTTAAATTTAGAAAAAACAGCCAAGTCAATGTTCGAAAATGGATAAAAACTGTGAAGTTGACAGTCATAAACAACTAGAGCAGAACAATTATGACTGTAAACTATCATCAAACACAGATGTTGTAAACTTTTGCTATAAAAATATACTATCAGAAAGCTGTGAAAAACAGTAATACTAAGTATGTGACTTTGATTCATAAATATTGTTTGTTTGGATATTCCAATTGATGTTTGGGACTACAACTGATCAGTTACTTGGCATATGTGCAACCTAGCCCGATCGCCTTAATACTGCCATTGCATCACAAGCATTTTAAGCAGAGATGGATGGTGGCTAGTAGTGGAATCAAAGACGTGCTTCTCGCCCTACTTGGGACTCATCATCTGGATGTACCTGCTTTCGGGAGCTGATATTCAAAAACTTGAAACCAGAACAAGCCAGTAGATAAGAAATTTGATTGTTTCACAAGAAATCAAATATATTGACCATAAAATGAGAAAATTGTCAGTTTGCAGGGTATTAATTAAAAGTAGTCTACAAAAAGCAAACTTATACAAGGTGAGATCAAACTAGGAAGGAGCAAAGTTGTTAAACGAAAAATATTCAGCAAGTTATGAAGTCTTAAATTGACTATTTGAAAAGAACCAATATGTCTTAAACTAAGCATAAACACCTACAGAAACTTGATTTTACTTACTCGAAAACTAGATAGATTTATGACATACGGGGTTAGGTAGCAATCAGGAAGGACTTATTTATAAGATCAGGACTTTTGTTATTATACCTAAATTACATACGAACAAATTTTTTAGTCTAACGTCAGACAGTTAAACCGCTTCAGTGAAAAGTTGTCATTCAAACAAGTCAGTGAGATATCTATAAGTTAGTTTAAGCCATAAAATTCACCAAATCGTGCATCAAGTAACCAGCCACTTAGATGACTAAGACCATCTCGGTGGTTTTTTAGATACAAAACAATTTTACTCCACCATGAAATTGAACTGTATATAATACTTAATATGGTACAAATCCATGAAGTCACTGACAAGTGGACTGAGCCATGTTGGTAGGTGTAGACTACCTGGTTGGGATCCGCCAGATGATAGCAATCAATGGTTAAAGACCTTGAATGACATGGCTCAATCGTTTGCAATGGCAAAGGTGCATCTACTCTTTGTGTTCTACCAAATTCTAATCTTCTGAATTCCTCATGTCTTTATCTTTTTCTCTTTCCAAATTTATTTCACTGTACTATACTCCTTCAATAATTTCTTCAAGCCCTAATCTTTTGGATTTCTGATTATACTCCTACTACTTCTACCACTATGGGATTTGAATCGACAACTGCATCTCTGTGCTAATGTGGTATGGCAACTCGAACTGATGTACGTACGTACGAAGTTCTACGTTGTGACTGACTGACTGATGGAATACTTTTAAATCGTAAAACAAAAGTAGGAAGCAACTCAGTTCGAAAATCATAGTATCTACTTATACGTGCAATAAAGTTTCACATAGACTTATTGTGTAAGGGTTTTTTCGATACTAATTTGTCAAATGAATCAAAATAGGCGAAATCAACTTCAATTTTTAAATTAGTAGATCAAAGTCAATCATGTAAGTATACAGAGTTAGACGTTTGAGAAGCCAAGGCAGTCTTTAAGTTGAGTACATTACTCTAGAGAATCTGACAATACTTTTGATATGTGCGTAAAATCCGTCAACACTACGTTCGGAAACAAATTCGATAAAAATAAACGAACGATAAGTATTTCGTTTCACAGAAGTTGGAAACCATTATAACTTAAAGCCATGATTTGGAAATAAAAATGAAGTGTTTGTTAAGAATGAAATTTAACTAAAATACCAGGGAGCACCAGAATTCTTTGTCCAGGCATATTACTCGATATTAGGGTGGTATAAATTATATTCAGCTTTCGTAGGGAGCGAAATGTTTTTGAACAACTAGAGTCCGAAGTTAGTAATTGTCAATTTTTAACATAAGTCGATATCTGTTTTATAGCGTTGGCACTGTCTAATCACAAGACACGAATTATAGCCGATGTGAAAATTTCAATAAGTTGGCCAATCCAATTAGTAAAAAGTTGATTTATTGATAAATAATGAAATTATGTATATATTCTCAAAAAAAAGCCCTGAATAAAAATAATTATTCGACAAAATATTGTTATACAGCATAAACAATAATGAATGTACTTCAGTAAAAATTTTAGAAGAGTAAAACATAATGACCTACTTACAAGAATTAAGAAAGAAACGAAGTGAACAATATATTTTTATACAGTCCAATTAACTGACATTCCATCGTAATGTATTATCCGATGTATCACCATACTGTTTCTTTTCTAACTCTTCCATACGTTCTTGTTTTCTTCTAACCTTTTCAAGATCTCCAATCCCACGTGATTCACTTTCAGCTAATCGGCGTTCGATGGCTTCTACTTGTAATCGTCTACGAGATTCTAGGTCTACGGGTTTCCCACCGCCACCACGTTCCGAGTAGGATTCATAACGGATTTGTGAGTTGTCGTTGTCGTCGACATCGGAACTGCGGAAACAACAGAACAGGCGTTCACACTAAGAAGAAACCGAAATAGAATCATTTTGCTAGATAGAAATCTAAGCTAAATAAACAATTGATTGAACCAATTAATAACTGAATAACGCCGAATCCCGCTTTGTACAGTCTTTAGGCAGTGATCGAATTCTAAAGATGAAGTTGAAGTGCGGTTATCAGCTTAAGTGACCCAACATTACAGTTTGATAAGCCAGTTATTCCCAGAACAGCATAACAGTGACTTCCCCAATTACGGCACTAGTTCGAGTCCTACGAGGAACATCGGTTCAATCAAGGTTACAAATATACTTTACTAATGACGAGTCCTGACTAGCAAGAAATGAAAGCTCAAAGATTTATGGGTTTTGATTCAATGACCGATTAGTTGTGTCATGCCTGGAAAGAAACCTGCTGACTAGATGTGGGAGTGTGCCAGATGTACAAACTTATAAGGGGCTTTGAAATAAGTTGGAATATTTGACTCGTGCCTCCTAATTTTAAAAGCGACCCATACCATCCGGTTATTCGCTGAACATTATCTACTAATACACTATTCACTTTGTCAATTAGGGTTTATGTAAAAGTTATACAACCGCTGAAAAGAAGAAAGCACTGGGACTGGATAACTGTTCCGTTATAGTATGAGACTTATCGACAATGTATATCCACGATCGAGCCCAAGTCTTTCAAATCCATAATGAAAACTATGAGAATTCAACGACTGCTACAAACCCGTATAGCAACATTAAGCAAATGTTCACTGGTGACCATCTTTTAGAAGTAATAACCGAAGTTCTAGTGAGAAGCCGTAAGAGAGCGAAGCAGTTAACCAACAAAAGCAATGGAAGATGATTGCGCAATATTATGGATTAATCAAAGTTAGATATGTAAACCACCAGATGTCGGCTCAGTAGTCTAAAGGTTAGGCGTTCGCTGTAAGACGAGGTCCTGGACTTGATCACACTAAAGGCATTTAGTGGGTACTGCTGAGGAGTTTCATACTATGACGAAATAGCTGTTCACGGAATACTGGTTGTGTAACTAAGATCAATCAGTGGTGCAGACCATACAAATTTAATCTCCGTAAGCCCCTATATCAATGGGCATAATCTGTTTTAATCTCAATGAGAAAGATGCAGCACTGATTAATGTAAAGACGAGAAGATTGCCAGAAGCCACTTTAGATTTCACTGTTGCTGGGTACTAACGCAAACAACATCTGTATAAAAACAGTGTAAAACAGCATATTTCATTTGCGTACACCTCTCTAGTTAGATTTATCTATGCCATTTATGATTCCTGTCTTCAATAAGTTCTGCATATTAACGAGATCGAGTTGTCTATAAAATAACGAGAATCACATGTAAAATTTGCCAGTCAAGAAATATAAAAGATTCCATGAACATGGAGATAAACCCCAAGAATGAAGTAAAAACAAAAGTTTCAGTAAATTTTATGATTTGTAGTCAACCCCCGAATGTATTAAAGTTTACTACTATTTAATCGAGTAATGTGCATGTTTATATTACAAAACTGCTGTAAGATCTGGTTGTATAATAACATGCTTGTCTTATTGGTGATAAAATTAGTATGTTTAAACACAAATGAACCAACGTTCGATTATAGTACTCAATTAATATAAATTATTCTTACCGAGTCTAAGTCTATGTATTTGAAACTCAAAGTCATGCTGTCTCTATGAGGGCAAATGATACAGCCTGGCTACCGAGACCCAATTAGATAAAGCTTAGTTTCGAACATGTACCTTGTTGTTTAAAGTTAGAAAACAATCTTGATTTCTAGGAATATTTATGTACCAATATATACAAATAATAAATGGTAATAGAAGGAAAAATAATTAAAGTTAGAAATGACATTGAAGGTGATAAACTTAGCATAGACGAGCAAAACGTGACCAGTTCAGTATACCTGGACGTGTAAAATGTGTGTCGATCAATAAAAGAACAGTTGGTTTACAGTTATTTGGTAAAGCGTACGAAAGAGGATCGTGCCGTAAAGACGTGTTACCCACGAGTAATAGTTATGAAACAGATCTAATACGAGTGTCTTAGCCGTTAAGTCAAAGCTATATATTAATGACAGTTTATGAAAAAGGGCTTGATTCTCATTTCTTGAGTGTCAAGCACACTTCAAATGTGAAGGCTTATTATACAACCAGGCTACCCAAACTAAAGCACGTGGAATGGCGTTTGAACCTGGGAATTGATGGCTGAACACCTCAGCTACCAGCCCATGGCTCCATTGACTTTCCTTTCTAGGATTTAGGCAAACGTTTGTCTTTACATACTATAAATCAGAGGGGGGTATAAATAGTGAACTGGTTTTCGTCGTCTTTAATTAATAACAATCTGAGCTGGTTTTCCTACATTTCAGAATGTTTGCCATACATAGTAAATGTGGATTAAAACTGGTTTCACTTCTGATTTAATGATAATATTAAATCTTGATTTGTTTGAAATTGCCCATGTTCAGAGATAATTTTCAATATTGACTAACTAATGGCTAAGAAGAGTTAAATTAAGAGTTAGCTACGTGACTTGCCCAGTAGTGTAAACGATTAAATTTTGACGATCTGCAAAGAGACTGGCATTCTACTTCACATCTATTCTAGTTCGAGCTGGACATAAATATCTTTATCAAACAATTGTTCAGTCAATCAATAACAATAACAAAGTAACAGCAAAAACAATTACCAAGAGGACTGTTCATAATCTGAATTTTATTTTACACAAATTAGCATACAAGGGTTCTGTCAAAATAGCCTATTCCATTGAATAATATTCGTTTTCATGTGTATTGAAGGTGAGTGGTTGAGTGATGACGGATATGATGAGTTTTCATGAAATCATTTGAATTCGTCTTGTTGAGTACCATAGTTATCACCATCTTCATCGTCTTCAGATGAAGATGTTACGCTTAATGCACCATCAATCTTTTCCCTTTCACACTTGGGGCAATTACACCAAAACAGATAGTTTGATGATAAGTGTTTACGTCTTGTGTGACGACCACGTGATTGTAGACAATGATCCAAATAGGAGATAGTGATTTCTTCACCTTCTTGAATCGATGTCAATGCAACCACAGATAATCGACTGTTGACTCCACTAAAACGAATTATTGCATTTGGTGAACAACTATGATTAATTCGACCTAAACAGTAAAGAAGAAAAAGTAATGACGATCAAGCCTTAGAATATAGCAAACTATAAATCATTATTCATTGACAGGAAATATACGAAAATTGTATATTACACTGTTTTCTTTCTGACACAGATTTATATTCATACTCAAATATTCAAGGACTTAAAGATTCACATATCAAACTACTACATTCAAATACTACTAGGTATGGAAGGATAAAATACAGGTTGACATACTAAAAAAAGCTAACGAAGAACACAAATAGTATAGAGAAAAACATGATTGAGCTACTATTATTGTTATTTTAAGCTTCACATTACAAATTATTAACAAGATGTATTAGCAGGATAATTCACTTTGTTATTCCTTGTACCCCAAATGGAAACACAAATTTTACAACAAACCATCCTGACCGTTGCTATAACCTTGACGTGATGGTCGAGCCTTCCTACAGTCATGAACCAATAGGGCTATACTGGTTGGAACAGTCGTTTCTCAAGGTCCTAGCATGCCAGGCAGGTCGGTTGAAGAGCGGTAAGACTAAAAGCAGTTAACCTAAGATCTGAGAGGGAAGTCGTACTGCTGACTATACAGAGGTGTGACGGCAGTAAGGTATTTCCCTCAAACAAATAGCATAACATCGATGCAGCTTTCCCACAAAGGAAGAGTGGGGTTTAAAAAAGTCGACCCTGAAAATACACGCCTCGCCTTATTCCACGGATACCCGTCTTCGGCGGTAAGGTCCCAACAAGTACGGAGCTGACACAAAAATTACCCACAAAATGGTCGTGTGTGATCGACCTCAAGTAGATATCTCTTGGGCAGTGCGGTCACGCTCTCAGGTTGGTAATACCATCTCTAACCCAATTTCCCTTTCAGGTACCTCTAAGAGGACCTTTCTGTTATAACTTGTGGCCGAGTGGATGCCCTGTTAACGTATGAAGTGATAAGACCGCTAATCAGAGGGCAGTGAATTATCGAATGGAACAGTGACATACGGAAACAGTAGGAGCAGTTTAGAGTACGTATTGGTCCTGCTTCTGCCCAGCCCAGCCAGTTAAGTCCAGAACAGCCTCTGCGGTATGAATCATTATACTTCAAACATTCTGAGTTTATATATCAAACAAACCGACCACATCGTACCAGAAAATATAAAATAACATATGTATAAGATTTAGCTAAATATGGCTGTGAATAGGGGAGATAGTGAATAAAAGACGGCATAATTCAGGAATGGTAAATCATATAACAATAGTTTATACTTCAAAATAAAGCTTATAATAAAAGGAACTAGAATATGAATAGTTTAGGTATTTACCGACTATACGATAAAAAATATATGCATAGTATTGGTCCACAAATGGATCCCAAAGTTATCGTTCATTATCCTTCTCGGGGCATAACACTTTCCAAGATGTGGGCGACCGGGAAGTGACAACCGCCCTCATACCTATAATAGTATTCAACACCACTGTATTCCCTCTTCAATTCCTATTATTCCCCATACTTCGACAATCAACCCTAAACTCCCTCCTCAAATGTCACCATGTCCAACAATTCCAGTATGTGAAATAATGTCCCAGGTCTACTGAAACCTCACTCCAAACTACACATTGAATCCTTCAACGTACGTACCCTATGTCAAATCGACCAGCAGGCCTTCTTGACTAAGACCCTAAAATATCCTATCATTGATGTGTGCTGTGTCGCCGAAACACACATACAAGACCCTAGTATCATCATCCATTTAGCCTCATGTAGCCAAAACAGAGAGCCGATAAGATATCTGGCAACCCGACGGCAAATTTTTGTGGACTAACCGGTGTAGGCACAGTACTAAGTACAAGGGCAAATAAGCACTTTTGAATGGATCCCCGTTAACAGTCGCCTATGTACTGTCCGGTCAAACGGCTCCATAAGAACTCGGGAGGATGGGGACACATACCGTTGCCTTTTCGACATTTCTCCTTACGCTCCCACTGACTGCAGCCCGGATAAAAAGAAGGACCAATTTTACAGAAAGCTCTCTGAACTTTTTTTAAAAGGACAAACACTCAGGCATAGTACTTGTAGTAGATTACTTTGATACCAAAGTAGGTACCTTAAACCAAACAGAAAGATATTTAAGTGCGTATTTTGGTATTCCGGCTCAGCGAACAAATAATGGTGATCGTATGCTTCAAATGTGCTCAGACAATCGTTTATTTATAACAATCACTAACTGTAAGCATAAGGAGAGACATAGTCTAACATGGCACCAAATTAACAATGAACTCAAATGGGCCATATTGCCATCAGTCATCGTTGGAGAGGCTCGACAGAAGACTGTTGCTCGTTTTGGAGCACATGTTTAGACTCTGATCATGCTTTAATACGAGAACGCAGAAAGGACACATCAAGAAGACCCGTTAAAGTTGAGCTCAGCGACGCGAAAGACAAAAGTAAGTTCCAGGAACAGCTGAGTTCACATTTAGGCATTTCTGAAAACGAGACTGACCCAGACGTTGCTTGGAAAGATATACGAACAGCTATGGAAACAGCAGCAACATTTATTAGTAATTTAAACCAGAGTTACAAAACACTAATGGATTTCTGCCACATCTACTAAACTGATAGACTCTCGTAAACTCGTCCTATCAGCCTCCGAACAGGATGAAGAGCGAAAACAAATCAGATCTAGGCCGACAAAAGGTCAACGGAACGACCGTTAGCAGTGGTGGGCAATGAAAGCAAAAGAGATAGAAAAGGCAGAGTATGGAGATAACACCAGACAGCTTTTCAGACTAATAAAAGAAAATGGAATTAAGAAGTCAAGTATAAGTGAGACCATTTAGGAAAAAGACGACACTCTTATCTGCTCTCAGCCCAGACTTTTAGAACGATGAGAAGAACACATTAAGAAGCAATTCAGTTGGCCTTTAGCTACCTACCATTTCCATACACTTTGAATGGGACATTGAAATAGGCCCACCGACTCTAATTGTACTTCAAAAGGCCATAGCTAATCTGAAACGAGGAAGAGCAACTGGATTAAGCCCAGAGGTCTTTAAGGATGGCAGTCTAGTTTTGGCGATTAGGTTGATTAATATTTTTGCTAATAACTGGAAAGTAAAGGTAATCTCGTTTGACTGGTCGCAACCACTGATTATCCAAATATATAAGGAAGGATCAAACACAAACTGTGGTAGCTACTGACGAACTGACTTGACTAATATAGCGTCTAAGATGCCAGCCTCTATAATTATCGGAAAAAGATTTGTGAACTGAAAATATGAGAAAATCAGATTGGCTTTAGACCTAATTGTGGCTGTATCAGCCACATATTTGCCATCCATCAGATTTCACAGCACAGACATGCTTATCGGCGTCCGACAATGATGGTCTTCCTTGGCTTCAAAGCAGTACTCGACTCCGTAATAGAGAGGTTTCATCAGAGACCTACTGCTGGAAATAACATTCTTATCGTCTAAATTTCCGGAAATTAATCTCCTACCAGGAGATCCACTTATTGCTCAAGAATACACAGATGATACAGCTCTGTTTGGTGAAGACGCTGATAAAATGCAGTTTTTTGGTAGCACTAAGTAAGAATGCCAGTATGTTTGGGATGCGTTTCTCCCATTGTAGATGGAAATTGTTGTTTCAGACTGGTCTGTGTCAACACCTGAACTAAAGATAGGGAGTGAAGTAATCGAAGTGAACAAAACTCCACTTATCTTAGAAGTCTGATCAAACCTAATGAGTTGGTGTCTGACGAAATCTCTGAACGGGTTCAAAATGCTCGTTTGGCTTTTGTTAACGTCACCAATGGCGAAAAAGAGATATCCGTCTATCAATTAAGGTACGAGTATACTTCTAGCCAGTTTGTCCTGTTTCACTTTACGGCTGCGAAACGTGGCCATTAGGAGTAGAGGATACTCGTAAGTTACTAGTATTTGATCACAGATGTCATAGAAATATTGCTCGTATCTGCTGGGTTCGCGAGGTAAGTAATAGTGAGGTCAGACTGAATCAAGTACATAGCTCTGGACTTTCCAACAGAGTATCACAAATATATCAGTCCATTTACTTCAAATCGCCGCAAGTGTTTAGCTGAAATACAAAAGTTAATCTAAAAATACTTACTTTGATAGTAATATAAACCCACTCCTTCGTTGTCCAAGAAAGAACCGACGTGATCATCAATTGCCGAATATAGCTGGTCGATAAAGAGATTATATTCATTAGATGTTTTTTCATTCGTCGTATCGACTAATTTTCCAGACTGATTAACCCAAACACTGAAAGCACTTGTTGCAATACCTTGACCATTACGACTAATCAGACATAAAGCACTTGTAAAATGATCTTTCTCTAATAATGTATTTATTCCAGCTTTTTGCAGGGTTTGAATGCATTCATCATATGATGTAGCATGACTAAACTTTTGACATAAAAATAAGAGTACTTCAATAAATGCACTATGAATTTCTTCAATATGTGTAGAAAACTGATCACCAAGTATTTGATGATAGAGAATACCATTTTCATTGATTATTGCACTTGTACTAGAAACAAACTGCTTTAGTGCTTCGACTAAATGCTGTGAGGTCGATGAACCAATAAGACACGCTGATAGACATGCGGCAACAATGCGAACAAGCAAAAAGATAGTGCCACTTTCTGGAGGATAATGAGACTGTCGCCAGATTATGTCCAATTTTTCTAATGGATTTTCCTTGCCTTTTTCAATGGGTGCCATACACAATGGAGAATGATATGTAAGAGCAGCTGATTCGAGACAGTTAGGAGAACAGTAGTTAACTAAGCAATTAGGACAGTGAACAGCTTGGTTACAGTGAAATGATGCCTCTGAATAAGGTAATACAAGCGATGGATTGTTAGTAAGTCTCCTTATATTCTCCTCCGATGTTTCAAGTGGACACAAACAATGATCACAAGCTTTATATCCATAGAGCTTGTTCCATGAAAACTGACAGCATATTAGAGGATCTTCTGAAAAAAGGATGTCTTCAGGATTTATAAATTGAGTAGCAACAAGACCCCTTCCACGAGTTGGTCCGAAATCGACTTCTCTTGTGAGATTCATTAGTTTGAATGGACCTACAGTATAAATTACAAAATCATTAGACATCAATTAGACTTGAATAAATGAAGCATACGCCAAGTTAAGGAGGCACATGTCCAAATACTTAAGGTAGCACAAACTCAAAGTGGCTTTTGGATCTTAAGTCAAAACTGTGAACGAAATTGCTAATAAATGAAAGTTTTCCTTAACAACTAATTATAGGGTGATGGACGACTTAACTCAAATAGAGAAAGATAAGACTCAGAATTCTGACAAACATTCACTGTGTACATATACATCACATACGATGCAAACGAATGTGATGTTTCGGTTACGTATACAACTGAACTTCATAATTTATACAACCTGATTGTAAAGGGAATGATCGACAGAAATTCTGCTATGACATTGGTAAGGATCGAAACACTACCGAATAGTATAAATTCACAAATGTCATGACTAACAGCTGTATTTTTTTCCAGTAAGTCTAAAAGGCCGATTATGTTAGAGAGTGAAATGTATAAAAAAAAACAGAAGTGATATTCAATAACTATGTCTAAAAATAAAGTTCGCCATGTATCTAACCTAGCTTCAAAATTAGCATGTAAGCGGGAAAAAAGACTTACACATTAAGAGTCCGTATCCAGAAAAAAGGTTTAAGAGTAATATTATGATGGCTTAACGATTAGATCTCTTGATCGCCAACCACGTTTGATATTTAGACAGTCAATTAGCGAGTACATGAACCCAGTTGGGTTTGAATGATTTAGGAACTTATAAGTCAGATTTTTCAATGCAGCGTAATGAACACTTTGTGGTCTATTTCCATGATTAATATTTAGGAACTTAGATACCAGCTAATTTTTCAAGCGACATTAAGAGAGTTTAGTCACATATCTATGAGTCAGTGAAAAGTATTGATACTGCAAAGTCTTAATAAAAGCGAGTATCTTCGAAGGGCTCCTCTCATGATTTCGGCATATGGCGTCAGTAATTCACAAACAACAGATCTGTACAGTACAAAAATTAAAAACACTTGATATTCCTAGTAATATCTATTACGTAAAGAGAAACTTACAGAGGACCAAATAGAGGGGTCATACCAGGCCTCGAAGTTACTGAATTTCCTTCTCAAGTGCTGGTAAATGTGATTTAAGTGGATGAGTCGCGTGTGAGAATCCTAACCAATAAAGTTGATAACTCAGAGACGCCGATTGATATAAACTAGGACCATTCATGTTAACACGGGGACACTTATTCCTTACATTGCTATGAATTTTCGATGTTAATGTTACTTCATTTTTTACTGAGCAAATTTAAATTGAAATTTCGAATAGTGAATTTTTTTACGTATGATATTCACTAGAATAGCACCTTATTGTACATTCTTATATAAAATTGTGATATATATATAGTCTTGCTCAAATGAACTCCAACAATGAATAACTTAATAGCTCACTCACAAGTGACTCTACACATTTACGTTATGAGTGAACAATAATTGAATTTGTGAGAGAATCAAACCCTTAGATGAGTATTAGCTAATCTATACTTGTTAACGTTTGTAAAATAAGCAAAAAATTTGTTAGAATACATGTCAATATTTTTTATTTAGGGCTTCATGGAAGTGGGCTTATTCAATAACTTATTTACGCTCTTGTATAAAGTGACTAGCTTATTTACGACGGCTTCTGTTACTTTGATCCGAGTAACGTTTAACTCGTAAACCCCTCTCAAGTTTTGAGAGCTAATGAATCTTACGACTCTTTGATAAAGGTTATATTTAAATATGGAAACCGAGAGGATCAACGAAGTTATCTAAGCTATTCTATAATATCGAATCGCACTACTGTCCGACATCGTCTTCGACAGAGAATGATATGGAAGCCGCGTAGGTTTCAGCTTCAGTATGGTGAGGGCAGGAGGCTTGATGGCCCATGTTAGTCCTAGCAATGGTGGTGTCTCAGCTGATCCAAATTTATTTCGAAAGAGTCGACAGATGTGGCCTCAACAACGTACATAGGTAATGAATTCCACTCGTTGATGATTCGATAGGAAAGTCGATAGTCGGCTGACAAGTAACTTGTTCTGGGCTCGTGAACGTTTTCTAAGTGTCCTCGTAAATTCTCGGTTTCAGAAGATGAGAAAAATGAGGGCATATAAGGTGCAAGTTTTTTACTAAGTAATTTGAAGACCGAAATCAAGTCACCTCTAGTTCTTCGGTATGGCAATGGGAAGTAGCTGTAAATAATTCTCCAAAATCAATAGCTCATTAAGTGTTCGACATTGGATGCTGACCACGTTGTTTGAGTGGACTTGTTTAACTGAAGGCTTTCAGTCATGCATCCGTATCAGATCACGTCTCGAACCAGCGTGGGACACTGCTCCTACGCTCACTAGTCAGATTAGATCAAACGCTTCTCTTCATATGGAATACAGAATCCCCTTTTATCTTGGTTCAAGTCATTTTTAGAAGAACGTAGCCAAATTGTCCGCTTTGGATCTTGCTACTCCAAACCTATGAATGTAACCAGTGGGGTTATACAAGGAAGTGTAATTGGTCCATTACTATTTCTCCTTTTTATCAATGACGTTTGCTCCCTCTTTCAATATGGTAAAACTTTTCTTTTTGCCGATGATCTAAAAGTGGTTTATTCATTCTCATCTCCCACAAAAGAAAGCTATATTCCAACGGTAATCCAAGAAGAAATAAACAAGTTGTACGAATGGACTATTTCGTGGAATTTGCCACTTAATGTTGACAAAAGTGGATTTATTAACATTGGCCGTTGCCTTAACTTAAATCTGGCTATACACAAACATACACTGAAACCTCTCAACACTGTTCGTGACTTGGGTTTAAGATATAGCGACAGTTTGAACTTTTCTGAACATATTGCATCTGAAGTATCCAAAGCGAGATAGCTCATCGGATTCATAATGATCAATTTCAATAATACGGAATCGAGATTATTATTATACAGAAAATGTATCTTACGAATTCTGGAATATGGTATTTTAGTTTACAGTAATTGCAGGCATAGTGACCTGATTAAAATTGAAGAAGGTTCACCAAAGCTGTTTTGGGGTATTCTGACAACATGACTATCACCAAAGATGTCAACAACTCAAACTAGAACCTCTCTGGATCAGGCGTATCAAATTAAACCTTGTCTTTCTCTACCGGCTTCTTAACGGTATTTCTTACTCTTCGCTATCTACCCCTTCATACTCTATGATACCGTCCCACAATCTACGCAATAAGGAAAATATTCTAGTGATTCCAAAAACGCACACAAATTTGCGCCAGAATTTTTTCGTTATTCGCTACTCAACCATGTGGAATAGACTGCCAATGAACCTCCGATGCAGTGAAACTATAATCCGGTTCCGAAGTCTTCTTGATGATTTTCTTTCCGAAAGTGGATTGTGTCACCTATTGAATATCAACGTGCTTAACAATGATTTATACAAAAAAGGTCCGTCATCTATCTAACTGACTGAAAAGCAAAGTGAAACCTTTGAAACTTTTCATGTCTATTCTATTTCACTTTTATTCATCTTAATATATAAAGTCTGCTTATATTCGTATTTATAATTATTACTGTTATTAATATCATTATTGGTCTTTCGACACATCAGATATTGTTTTCATCTCTTCTTGTCCTTCTAAACATGTTTTATTCCTAAACATCCAAAATCTACAAATAAAAACAAAAAACCCTATGTTACACTTAAACAAATAATTTTTAAAAAAAATCTTCACAACATATATATAACATATAGAAATTTATATTTAATTATTCTTTGCAATTAATTGTGACTATGATAGCATCATTCCAAATTATTATTATTGCACTAATGTTTATACTAATACCCGGTTTCACTCTGTATACTGTTACATAAATCTACACGTATTTATCCGTAAGGATTTATTATTGTTGTTATTATTATTTTAAAATTATTCGTTCATCTCAAAAGTCTATATCCATTACACAATTATGATCATAGTTGAACCCTTTCACTATGTGTTCATTTCTTTTCTCTCTCCCTTTTTTTCCTTCTAAATAAATATTATTCTTAAGGTGACGAAGCTTTGGATTAAGACAATAATTTGTGATACACTGAATTCAACTTATCAGACTCGTTTTATCTTCACTATGTATATTCACCTCATACATATTGATTATCTTTTGCACTTAATTGAGACTTTCATAGCATCACCCAAAATTATGACTGTACATACACAAACACTTATTCTAACGTCATACCTTACCGCAATAATAAGTTATTTAATTATCAATTTATTCTGTTTTATTCCATTTTTATTACTCGTTTTGCTTTGCTCGTTTCTTCACAGCACTTATGTACCCATAAGGTGTTTGTGAATAATAATAATAATAATAGTAATAATAATATATTGATGACGTATCAAATATATCTTTCCGATCTCCTCGCATCTGACTTCTGATTTCATTTCGTTGGAGAAAGCTTCATATATATAAGGTGCCAATGATAGCAGGATTTAAAATCAGAATACTAGTCGTTTCTTCAGGGAATAGGTTTAGTTTAGCCAGTCGAGCATCATACGGGAGCTTCGATATTGCAGGAATCAGCTTATTCGCCGTTCCCTGAACCTTTACCAAAGGCCCACTGTCTTTAAGCAGAAGCTAGCCGCTTGCATGCAGTACCCAATTTTAGGGCGCATGAATACTGTATGCAAAGTCAAAATGGTTTTAGCGTCGATGTGACTAATGGCTTCATGTATTGACCACAGGGTTCTAGACCCGTTGGTGGTTATTGCACGGTAGTGTGCAGCAGTTTTTAAATATTGACTAACGATTACCCCTAAGTAACTGTGTGTCTGGACAACCGGTAGCTCAATGCTATTCATCATGTATATATCTGTAACTTGATGACCAAAACGCATCACAATACACTTAGAAGTATCAATCGGCAGCTGCCAGCTTTGAGATCATTCAGACAATTTATCCAGGTCATTTTTAAGTTCTGAGCCATCATCTGTACTTCTCCATATCTTGACATCGTCAGCATATAGGAAGACCGATGATGACAGGAGATGAGAAAGGTCATTTACATATAGGAGGAATAACACTGGCCCCCAAAGTGTACCCTGAGGCACTCTGCTAAGCACAATTGCCTAACTAGACAGCTTAGAGTTCACTCGTACTCTCTGTCGGTGCCCAACTAGGAAATCTATTATCTACATTAATGGATTACTTCCAACCCCTACATTTCTTAACTTATGTAACAGCCGGTTTTGAGGAACTTCGTTAAAAGCTTTGCTGAAGTCAATTTAGGCTACGCTTGTAGGCTGCTTTCGGTTTTTAAAAGAACATCAACTTTCACAAGCCACCAATAAGTTAGTGAGACAGGAATAACTTATTCTAAAGACATTCTGCTTCTTGTAAAGGATCCGGTTTTCAGTGCTGTCAGTCAGCAGATCCTTCTCGAATAATCTTTTCTAACATTTTAACAGCCACTCTAGTTAGGCCAACGGGTCTGTAATTCTCAGGTTCATGTTACCTACTTTTTTGATGACAGGACTAACTATGGCGTTCTTCCAGTCTTCTGGTAATCAACCCTGGATTACAGTTAGATTTAAGCATATACCTAAAGGGTTCACAACAATGTTAGCTAATTAATTTAGTACAGTTCATCGGGTAGCTTGAATTTGCCTATTTCAGGCATATTGAGCAAACCAAAGACGTCGAGTTCTTTAATGGTCACGTCGTCAAGTGTGTGTGGGAGGGATTTGTATGGACTTACGGGAAGGGTTTTATTTTGGTTGCTGAAGTAGTTTGAGAATATTTAAGCCTTACCATAGTCGCCCTCTACTAATGATGAAACATTAGTGTCTCCCGATGGTGCTGAAATATTTCCTCTTCTATTAGTCCTCTGGTGTGTATAGGATTACAAGCATTTAGGACATTCCATGGATTCCTTAACATCTTTCTCTTCTTACAACCTTTAAGACTTAGGACAAGTTATGGCACACGTATTTTTAGCTTCTTGACATTCAGATTTTGTCTCATCAGTACCCTGCAACTTAAATCTTTCTCAAATTATTCTCCTATTACAGAGAAGGGTGTGAACCTCCCTGCTGAACCATGGTTTCTCGGACCCCTTGGCGTAATTCAAGGGATGTGGGGTGTAGTGACTTTTAAACACAAGTCTCAAAATACATCTCAAGCCATTTCACTCGACGACTCTTGCTCTATTGTTCTATCTACTGACGATGCTGAATGTATAATATCTTGAATATTAGATTTCCAGACGTTATGTCTGGGTTGAGCTAACGCGTGATCGTTTTTGACACCTATATTGAAGTCGAAGGTTAGAATTGCATGATCACTTTTACCTAGGGGTGGCATGTAATGAAGGTTCATGACGTCATCCTCATAATGAGTCAGTGTGAGATCCAGTTAGGATGATTCAGAGTTTGGGTCGTACCTAGTCACTTCTTTCATATGTTGTACTAGGGAACATGTGATAACTGTACCAACCAGCTCTTGCTCAAAGGATTTTCTAAAAAATCAGTTCTAAGATTTTCTCAATCTACCATAGGTGTATTAAAGTCTGTCGTGATTAGACGTCGACAACTTTGCGACCAAGACCTCATCTACCTCACAGCCTAGTAGACCAAACCAATCAGCAGCTTTCGTACTTTACATTTCAAGCGGTAACTAACTAGTTAACACGTCATGCTCTCATGGGGTACACTGTCGATAACGGCAAATGGGACAGTATTCCTAATGAATAGAGCTACTCCTCATCCTTTACTCTTCTGGATTCTGTTGAATCTTATTAACTTAAAGCCTTCAGAATCAAGTTTCACATTTTCTTTAGGCTGCGTAAGCCAAGTTTCTGTGACTTCGATTATATCTGGCTTGGTAAAATCAATCTGTACACACAGTATGGAGCACTTGTCGAGCAGGCTTGTGTGTTGGCTCTGCTGACTTAGTCAAGCGACGTGGTTATAACCAAGAGCAAATTATTTATGATGACAGTCGCTATCTAGTTTCACCGGGATTTAAGTGAGTTTACTTCAAATTCCTTTATACGGAAAGAGAGGTAAATTCACTTCATTCGATCTATCGGTAATTCAGTGTATTGAAACCCCTAGTATAAATTTTCTACCGGCTAATAATAATTTAGTACATGGTTTGTATTCAATTACAGACTCATATAGTCAACCTTCTACATTTCACTCAAGATTTGGTTACAATTAAGTTCAAGCATAATAAATGGCGTCAGAAACTTATTAGACTTTAGATTTCCGAACCTAATAAAACCTTTTTGATTATCACTACGATTAATAACACATTGATTTTTTGTTTGACCCAGGGGAAGTATTCATTATTCTGGCTAGCGGGTTACTAGACAAAATGTATAACCAAATACACGTTGGAATAAGGTAAAGCTTACAAAACTATATTATTCAAGTAATTTATGGCAATCGCTGTAGTAAGTCTACAACTAAGGGAAAACTTTTATGTTTCCAGATATCTGGACAGTAACCTCTTGACCAATTTCAACCTTATTGTGTATTGGGTATTTGACCAATTGATTTATGGACTAGTCGGGTGATCGTCTTTGGTTTCGTCAAATATTTAAAGCTAGTACGACTAAAGATTGGTATTTTAACATCAAAATTTGAGTTTAGGTAGTTAGAAAATTTTAACTTGACGTATTATCGGTACATTAGTAATTGTATATTGAACAGTGTTTCTTCACTGCAGATTTTGTTGACAAATTTTAAGAAGAAATTTAAAATGAAACCGATTTCCGTGTATTCAATTACTTGTTGATTAGTTTTTCTTTTCCTACTGAAGACCATATGGTGTGGCTAATAAGACGAAAGGATGGTGTTTCACCAATATTCCCTCTTCGTGGATGCTTTTGTTTGGATAATCGTTTGGGTTGTTTTATCTCAACGATAACCACAGCAGTACATATAAACATTTTATTTTCGATAGCTTGTTGTTAGATTAGTTCTGCTATTTCATGGATATTTGTAGTGCTAGATCTGGTTACTTGGGCAATTCCAGATTTTGTTATTGATCCTCAGTTCCCAACTTATTGGCGTATTAGATTTTGGAAAGGTTAGAGCTTTTTTATAATTATCTGTCGCATTTTTAGGCTTCATATTGTGTGATATCTTCATGTTTTTTGCAAATCTTATTCTTTTGATAATGTCCGTAATCGTGATTGTTGCTATTTCTTGGCCAGCGAGATACGTAATATAAAATAGTACACTAATAATATCTTTAGAGACTTTACCATTTGAAATCATATCTCCGAGCCTGGTGCATAATCATGATTTTGTACCAGATCGCTAATCTAGGAGTTGGTGTTTATACGTACTCTTGGTATGGACTTGCTGCATGGGTATGTACACCTATACATATATTTAGACTAACTTTCAGCGTGCACCGTACTTGATCTTCAGTGTGATGTATTTCATTGTATGTTACGTTCTCTATGTGAGTTGAGGTTCATTTCATCTTCTGCGTTATTTCAGTTTGTCCTGTTAGCCGTCGTCCCATCGTCGTTGTCCAATATGTGTATTAAGATTCGTTTTCATTATATTATAATATGTTGTCGTTAATTTCTTTTGCAGCTATGGTGTTGGATAATTTGTTGGTCGTATAAGGTAGAGATTGATATCGCTCTTGAAACTGAGGATGATAAAATGGCGGTTTACATTTATTCTCAAGTAGACGAAAACAGTCTGAGAACTGGAATATCTTCTTTTTACAATTAGAACACACTTATTTCAAATCAGAAAGACTGTTAACTAATCGTGTTTCTTGTTTTAGGTTGGGTTTTTGATAGTTGGATATTCATACTATTCAGAAATCAGGCTCGCACTAGTTGGAGAGGGTGATCCAGAAGTTTTACAGGAAATCAACTTCCTCAGTGGAGCTGCGAGTACAATGTCACCTCATATCTATACCTTCCCACAAAACCAAAAAATATAAGTTATACTCTTTTGATATTAGTGCCACTGATTTCATGATGTGTTGACTTCTGTCATTATAACGGTTCTAAATAAAAATATTTGGAGATGATTAGACGTCAAAAACTTGTTTATGAGAAAAATTCTACTGATTTTAACTGAACCTTGTCTTTTTTTAACACATTATTGTCTTGTGGAAGAAGCTTTATGCTCACAATTTAGATTTTTGATTCTCAATAATTTATTTGTTGAAAAGTGTGCATGTATTTATTTATTACCAATTTAGATATCTGTTAAGTTTTTATGTATGTGGTTTGACATCATACACAGTTTGTAATGGTCTATATGCAGCAGAATATCAAGCATTCACAGTTTACTGCATTGATAATTTTTACATGCTGAACGTATCACTGATAGGAAATAAAAGTATATAAGTTTGTTTGGGACAATTCTGTTGAGAGTGGATGTAAACAAGGTCCATATGACTAGGTCGGCTAGTAAGGAGTTGAAAAGCACGTTTCTCATAGACAGCTAATCGCCAAATCTGGCGTCCATGTTTGATCATGCGCCATGAGCTAGTTTTATTAAAGCCATATGGGATTTTAAGGACAGTTTTAGACCCACACTTTTGTACCCTAAGCCTACCTTTTTACTAACTTGTGACTTGATTTCACCTCTACTACCGTCAGTTACTCTGACTTTCTAACACATAGCATGCAATCAGGAAGCCCGGTTGAGGTTCACAAACTTGCGTTACACGCAGGACATCTATTATCTGAAGAACTAGTACACTCTGCAGTGGTTTTCTCTGTATTGTTCGCTGTAAATTATTGTATAAGGACTCTTAAGACACTCTTTGGTTGCCGTCATTAGATTTTGAATATATTTAGGGGATTCCTGATGTCATTGATGACATCGGTGAGTGGTTGCTCAATTCCGTGGATCAGTTGAAGTTAGACATTAACACCGTTGGATACCGGCTCAGTGGTCTATCGGTTAAGTGCTCTGGCGCCAGACTGGTAGGTCCTAGGTTCAAATCTCGTGAGGCGGGATCGTGGATGCGCACTGCTGAGGCGTCCCACAATAGGGCGAAACAGCTGTCCAATACTTCCAGGTTTTCGATGGTGGTCTAGCTTCAACTGACTCATGATCTCAACTCTATAAGATTTCTGATGTGTTGTAGATTAATCGAGTGACTAGAAGTAAGTTCTATATAGCATGCCGAGTAAAGATGGGGAATCAGTTAACTAGGCCTCGAATTTTCCCCATTTGGATTGCTGAAACATATCTAATATATCCACAACTACTGTCTACTTAATTTTTGTACGGTAGATAGTGTAGAAGTAAACGGTAAGAAAGGATTTTTTATGAGTCCGAACTTAGTATCATGTACTCATATGATGAAGACAAAATAAAAAAACAGGAGATATTTTTCTTGTGAACTGGAATGTAACTGAAGCGAGTTAGCCGTTTTATTTCTAAGGACTAAACTGAAGTTTGATTTCTCTGGATGAACTATTTTGGTGATCCATGAGCCATCACATGCAACGATGTGGTGAGCCAGAAGCTAATTTATTGAAGTGCATGTGACACAGTTTCAGTTTCTCTTTTCAATCTTCTAGTGAATGTGATCAAATATTAAGGAGTAACCATATTAGTAATATCTAACGGTCACAGGCAGTTAGTATCATGATATTATATGTTCGTTATTAGTAGGGAAATTATTGACTATTTGATACAGGGTAAAACCCAATTCATGTACAAGATAGAGTGTTCAAATATCATTTTCATTTAGGGTACCAGATCAATTGTCAATAATAGTCTCCACGTTGTTACCTTCTCCATTTAACTCATTACGCCTAGTAGCAAGTAACAAGTTAACTAAGTACACTGTTGACCAAAACACATGCGTATGCCGTAGTTGGCACGGTTTTTTGGACAGCATCAAGTATTACACGACCAAACAATGGTTTGGCTTTTTTTATATAGTTGAGATCATGAGTCAATTGAAGCTAGACCACCATCGAAAACCTGGAAGCACTGGACAGCTGTTTCGCCCTATTGTGGGACGCCTCAGCAGTGCGCATCCACGATCCCGCCTCACGAGATTTGAACCCAGGACCTACCAGTCTGGCGCCAGAGCACTTAACCGACAGACCACTTAGCCGGCATCCAACTGTGTGGATTGGTTGAGGTCAGGCATAAACAACGTTGGATACCGGATTAGTGGTCTGTCGGTTAAGTGCTCTGGCGCCAGACAGGTAGGTCCTGGGTTCAAATCTCGTGAGGCGGGATCGTGGATGCGCACTGCTGAGGCGTCCCACAATAGGACGAAACAGCTGTCCAATGCTTCCAGGTTTTTGATGGTGGTCTAGCTTCAACTGACCCATGATCTCAACTATATAAAATTACTAAAAATCTCCACAATACCCCCTTCTAATAATGATTCTGTTCGCTTTGTTTAATAAGTATAATATGAATTCTGTTGGTTTACTGGCCATTTATATACTGAGTTGCTATTCGTAATGAATAATGATCTATTCTTGGTATAAAAACAGCATAAGCTCACTTGAGATCAATAGTTTGTGCTTTGCCAACAGTTTGAACAGACATTTGTTTGCAGTATAACCAAAATAGCTTAGAAGGTTGTTGCCTCACAGTCATTTTCAGAATCGTTGTGATTTGATAGATTTATCGCCCTCGAAACAATTTTGCCAAATAATTGCTAATAAATTAAGCGATATAATTTCTATTATAGTTCATCATTTAGTGTATGTGGTCTCATGCTTATGGACTTGTGTTTATAGGCTTCTGTCGTCAAAATTAGTAAAGTAAATATCTAGATAGTTGTTACTAAGTTTTTCGTTCCTGTAATCTGCTGGCGTGTTCAAAAGCTTGTTTTGTTTGTTAACTACATAAGTATTATTGTAGTGGTGAGCTTGCGCGTACTAACCAATAGCAATAAAATACTCGATTATGGTCGACCTCATGATTATTTATTTTTGGTTTTCAAGTCTTGTTACTTAATTGAATATGAGTAGCAACCAATACATTCTAAGGTTAAATAAGTGCTAAATTGTTACGCTATTAGTTAGTTTTGTTATGTAGTTTAATTGTTATTACCTTAATTGATTTATAGTCTGTCTAATGGAACTAACGAATCTAATAGCTTCAAGATTATTATCATAACTTTTCGAAATTCCTAACTTGAAATATTTGATCATCACGAGAAGTTTAAATTCATAATACGTTGATAAAACCCTTAAATTGTTTTGACAGGTATTAACATAATGGGGTGATATATTTAACTGCTTAATTTTTACACATAGAGGAACAGCTGAATCATAACTAAGTATCGGATTTGGCTGGTGTGAAATATTTTTAACCTAAGTTAATAGTAAAAGGATCAATAAAGGTTATTCATTATTATAAATAGAGATGGATGGTGGCTAATGCTGGAATCCAGGACGTACGTACATCCAACTAGCGAGTCTCAAACAGGACGAAACGCGCGTTTTGGGTTCCAGTGATAGCCGCCATCATCTCTACTCATAATGCTTGTGATTTAAGGCAATATCAAGGCAATCTGCAATGTATTTAGGTCTCGTTCTACAAGAAGAAAGATATGAATGAAGTGGACGGTTAGTATCTGATAAGATAACACCGGTCAGGAGTTTGCAAGACTTAAGATGCCTATCCACAACCATGTTAATAATGGCCTTAAAAGATTCACCACACACCTTGCTAACTGCCTTTGTCACTCTCCACAAAACAGCAAAGTTTTTTCTCAAAAGCCCGGAAAATAATAATGGAGAACAGTAAGGAATAATAGGTAATATGCAAGAATTGAAAAATTGTATGAGTAAATGGCGAGTAGTCCTAAAAGCATGTAGCCTCTTTATGTAGTAGGTCAAACGGTAAACTTTTTACGATAACAGCAAAATATGAGAAGACCAAGAGAGATCAGAGGAAAAAGTAACACCAAGATAATTAACCTTCGACACTGTTTATCAAGGAGTTTCCAATGTTACAAGCATTATGGGGTCCCAAAATAGTGTTTAGGTGTTGTCCATGTCTTAGGCTGAAGATGACAGCTTGATATCTAGGCGATTAAGTAAGAGACCATTATCAATATACCATCATTCAATACGAGACAAAAACTCATTCATTTCTATAGGATGTAAGGAGGTAGGAACATAGTCAATTGGTTATCCAGTCGTCAGTGTTGACGTTGATCAACTTGTTAAATAAGAAGTGTCTTAGGATAGTAACGGTAGGTTTAAGAAACTGCCACTGAGTATTAAGTAATTTACCAATTGGTGATTGATAACTGTGAACTTATGCAATGGGATTTATTTTTGGTATAATATATTAATATTATATCTAAGATTCAGGATTTAAATCATTGTATTGCAGGCTATGTGATAGTCTTTTCTTGGGACTTAAAACATTTGGGAGCTTACATCAGTAATTTGGTCTAGGAAGCACCCAACACTAGACCGCCTATCATCATTCCATGTCATTTTTCGATCAACACCATTTTCTTTCATCTCGACGATAGATAATTTGTTCCTCAACTTAGAAATTCCTAAACTATTAAAAATCTAGGTCTAAGTAAATTTTAAATAATTTTTATCCAATAGTGACTTTTCACTTTACTGATTTTAACTGTAGCATGCTTCATTTATTGTAATAAAGATATGGACAGAATCGATGAATTCCTACCTATTTAAATGAGAATTTCATACTTCTAGAAATCTGAATACTTTTTCATTTTAGAACATTTTGCTTTCTGTTTTCCTGTCACCGAAGCTGTTATCGTTTGAGAATTGTCAAAAATGCCAGTACATTTCACAACCGGAAATAATTTGGATACCAGCTAAATTGGTTTGGATCAAATAAAGACTTTTTTATATTACTTATATTCTCTGAGAACGAAGAAACATATTTTATGGGAAGTTTGAACTAGCGAAAATAATTAAACCATTTTTAAAAAAAATAAGAGGAATGAATTAAGCCACAAAATTTTCATTACATTCAGCTTATTTAAATTGAATGATTGTCTATCTGAAGAAATAATATTTTTTTCATTGATATTTAGTTGGTTATGAAAACCGGTTCCACTTTTAGATAGTTCATATCATGGACTAATTGGAACTGGCAAATCATTGCGAAACGGAATACATTAAATAGCTTCTTCACACTAGTTTGGGACAATTTAATAGTTAGCAACTAGAACCTAGTCAGGGATTGAACCTATAATCATTAAGTCTTGTAGTGATTAAAGTCAAATTTGGATGACATGTATATGGAACTTCAGTTAATTTAAAAGATAGAGTGGTGACTTTCTATTGCCGGCAATAATCTTTTGATCAGTCTGAACAGTGTTGAACTTCACTAATCAGAATGTTATACTAGAACATCAAGAATTTTCTCTTTAGTTAGTCAATTATGAACACTTGATTTGCGCTTATTTTATAGTTAAAAACATGGACTGATCTTATTTAAATACGCACTGAGAACT